TTATTATTTTATTTTTAGTAGTGATAGAGAAATTGTGAGGAAAGAGAGTGTAGATATTAATGAGGAGAGAGGAGAGATGGTGTGAATATTAATGAGGAGAGAGAAATGAGTTGTTGGAATAAAATATATAGGTTAGTAGTAGGTTTTAGTAGGTTTAAAAATTGGAAAAAGTATGAATAGTGTATTTTCAATAGAAATTTGATAAGAAAAAATGGGAATTTCTGGATAAAATTGTGAAACAAACATGATCTCGGTTTTATGAATAGTATAAAACTGGAAAGTGGGTTTGGAAATGAAACCAAACATCCCCTTTCTCTCACTTAACAGTCATTATTATTAAATAGTGCAAGTTTTGGGGGTTAAATAATAAATATTATTAAATAGTGCAAAGTTTTGATTTATTATTATCTTTAAATGGGCCTTGGCCCATGGGCTATATGTGAAGGGCAATGTGGGCATTGTGTAAAATATGTTCTATTTTGGCACGGAAATTGTGTATGAAGGATGATATTAAACAAAATTAAAAATGTAGGGACTACTTTGATTTTTATTACAAACATCAGGGATGAAAATGAAATTTACCCCTCCCAAATACCTAAATTTAGGGCAAAGTCTTAATTGGACAGAATTTTCCACCCAATTGAATCGGAGCAAACAAAATCAAAGGAACCCCCGTTCGTCGATACGTGTTCTCCGACGGGCCACGCGATTACTCAAGCATTCCGAAGTGAGTTTTAGTTTGATTTTTCCGTTGTTCGTTTAATCTAGATTCAATTTTTTTTTCCTGAAAATTTCATTCAATTTCATGGTGGTTTTGCATCAATTCCTCTGATAAATCCAGCTATGTATAATGTTTCATAAAATTTGGTAATAATTAAACGACAATCAATATTGTCTGAAAGTTCAATTAACATCACAATCTAAGAAAAATAGATAGCAGAAAGAAAAAGAAAAAAAAAATTATTTTTTGCTGTCTTTTTGCTTTAGCTTTAAAGAGGCTTTCAAAGATGGAGCAAGGTAAAAGTAGCCGTCATATCGGTTTTCGTGTCGTTATGTTGATTAAAATCCGATCAAATTAAGTTCGTAAAATTGAATGTCGCTTTGCTATTCGTTGACTGTTTGTTTCCTTGTTTCTGTATATCAGGGTTTATTGTTTTAATTGTCTACTACCAGCTGAGGATTGATGGATAGTGGTAGCATCCAGTTTGGAAAAGGTTTGATCTTTTTTCGTTGTTCAATTTACGAGTTCTCGTCTGATTGCAGCATGCTTTATTTGAAACCATTTAGCAAAAAAATAAGTTCTGGAACATTTGACACAATCACGTCGGGCGGAAGAATTTCTCGTTATTTTTATTTCTGAATATTTATGCACTATCACAAATCAGCAAATTGTTTAAGGGATTGAACAAAATTTTCAGCTTATGATTGATCCGTTATCGTAAAAATAATTTACCAACGTGATGCTGTTACGAAAGCAGGTCCAAGAGAACTTACAGGTGCTCTTGATCTTATAAGTCACTACAAGCTGTTACCTCACCACGAGTTTTTCTGCAAGAAATCGAGTCCCGTGTCAGTTTTAGACACGCACTACCTGTACAATGTTGTCGGAGATACAGATATTCGGAAAGGAGAAGGGATGCAATTGGATCAGCTCATTCAGAATGCTCACTCGAGAGATACTTTATCACGTATTCAACCATTCAATTTGAATGTGCTCGGAGAAGCCTTTCGCCTCCAGGAATCATCATCAGTCGATCTACCTCCTGTACGAAATTCTTACCCATTTACGGTTTCATTAAATTTGCACTTTTAGCTTGAAATTTTTATTGTCAATTTCGCCTTCTTAGTTGAAAATGAGGAGTTACTAATCTGAGGACTTTGTGCTGTTGTTTAGTCTGAGAAGGGAATTCCTACCGTTGCCGTAAAAACGAAAAGTGAGTCTAAAACGAAGGACAAGCAGAGAAAGCACAAGGACAAAGATAAAGATACCAAGAAGCACAAACATCGAAGTAAAGAGGAGAAGGAGAAAAGGAAAGCCGAAAAGGTGCTCACTTTTGAATCCATTACACGACCTACAATGATTTTCTATATTGCAATTTATTTATTTCTTTTTTCGAAGTATTCTTCACCAAGTGACGAGAAACCGAAAAAAAAAACAAAGAGAGAAACTGTATCGTTTTTCTTATTTCGCATTTTCACTCAAACCTTTCAATTAGCTGGCTGGTATCGTATAAATAAATTTTCATGATTTCAGAAGAAAAGGCGCGATCGTGATGGAGGAGAAGAAGAAGCGAATGCTGTTAAAAAACACAAGAAAAAGTAAGGTAACAACGAGATGAAGAAAAGCTCTATTATTTGTTTCTAGCATGATTTTTAATTTAAAAAAAAAAAATAAACTCGTAATAGCTCAATCACCAGAAGTGCTTTTATAGGTGAAACAATGCAGCTTAAGAGCTCAAAGATTTGATGACGTGGTGGTCGGTTTGAATAGGTTAGAAGCTTAACAAGTTGTAATCGACCTCCCCAAAGGCTTATGTTTTCATTTCCACATCATTTTTCAAGTGTTTGTAACGATCGACTCATGGAATCGAAAATCGTCTTTAAAAGGAAGAGAAATTGAGGTAGAGATTCGAGTCTTGACCATGTCACTTGCCTCTGTTGAGGTCAAATTTCTACACATACGCGTGTGAGAACGCAAAACACGTGAATTGAATATACACGTGTACGGTCGAATATTACCGTGGTGAATTCCATTGCATCGAATGGGGTAAATAAAATCGAAAGTTAACCAACTATTTGTCTGTGTAAAATTAGTCGGTTTCATCACTAGCCATTATTGCAAGGACCACAGCTATTTTTTTCAATAGGAACACAAATGGAAATATGTGTGGTGGTAGAGTGGTTGTTACACTACAATTTGGCATTTTACCAATTATATATATATATTAAAAAATAATATATTACATATAAATCGTAAATAGTATTGTGAATATTTAAGTGTATATAATTGGTAAATAAATGCCTATGGTATTGGTAGCCATTGATTGAGATACAATGGAATATTCCTTTTGTGTCAATAATAAAAGGGGGATTTTTTTGTAAAATATTCCATTAACGGTTGATTAATAATTTATCTTGAGTAATTATTAATTACTACAAATAATAACACAACACGTGAATTACCACCAGTAAACGTGTTTAGGTCAAGCTACAAAGAAATAGGTAAATACTGAATATATATGCATATATAGAGAGAGATATTTAAAAGATAGGTCTAAAAATTTAATAATGTTGGATATATAAATGACAAGCCATCCACATCTTTTGTACTATTTTTTTTTTTTTTGTTTTTGTTTGTACTAATGGAGCATTGAATTATTGACTAGGAATTATGTATTATTGGGATATAAGAAGTAATTAAGTTGATAAATTAAATATACTAATAGAAAAAAAAAGAAAAATCAAGAGAGATAAAGAAGAAGATATCTTCACCATCCGAGCTGGCAAATGAAGATATCGTATGTGAACAGCTCCCCTCCTGAAGTAACCAACCTTTCTCTCTCTCTTTCTTTCCGTCTCTCACTCTCTCTCTCTCCCCCCCCCCTCTCTTTCTTTCTCTCTCTATCCTCACCCGGTCACTATTTTATCTGCCAGTTTTCGACCCGGCCCAACCCGAACCCGAAACTTGCCATGTCCGCAATTGCCACCGCTGCTGCTCTATCTCTTCCTATCTCTCTGTCCTGTGCGAGCAAGTTCAGCAACAAAAGGGTACTTCTTTCTTACTATTGCTCTGTTTCTTCTGATAATTAATTTTTTTTTTTCTGAGCTGTTGTTTCTTGATTGTATAGACCGATTGGAGTAATTGAGGTAGTGAATTTGATCAGGGTGCTGAATCTGAAAAAAAGTGTAGTTCTTTAGTAAAACTGACAATTGAAAGATTAGACCTTTTTAAGCTCTCAGTAGTTGCATTGTACATGTTTGTTGAAATGCGCCAGACAACAAGTTCGAACCTAGTTCGTTGCAAGACTATATAGTTCAGTAGTTAATGAGCATCCCTCATCTTAGATGAACATTTGCAATATCGATTTCAATTCTCGTAAATAATTTTTGTTTCAATCGAAGGATTTTTCTTAATTGTTTTCTGAAAACATTGGTTAATGTGGTCAGTGTGTAAGAGGAGGGTTTGGTGTATTTGCTGTCCTTGGTGAGGAAGGAGGATTGGTCGAAAGGAAAAACACTTGGACGATATTTAATGTAGAAGATCCTCGTTCGAAGGTCCCACAGTACAAAAACAAGTTTCTAGATGCGAATCAAGCTCTAGAGGTAGCTAGATACGACTTGCAGTACTGTGATTGGAAGGCTCGTCAAGATGTTCTCACCATCATGCATCTTCACGAAAAGGTAAATAATTATTTATTATTTTTTGCTTTTTGTTTGTTTTTAATTTCTTTTAAGAATCACACTAGAAACACGATAATGAGTGCATCTAATCGTGTGTAGGTTGTGGAAGTATTAAACCCTCTCGCTCGTGAATTCAAATCAATAGATACTCTTAGAAAGGAACTCGCTGAATTACAAGAGGAACTCTCACTAGCCCATAATCAGGTATTTATTTCGATTTGTCTTCATTTTATCATATACCACTTGTGGTGTAAACAGAATGGAGTTCTTTATTACAAGAAATATAAGTAAACTAAGCTGGATTTCTTGAATATATATAGGTACATATATCGGAAGCAAGGGTGTCAACTGCATTGGACAAGCTAGCTTACATGGAAACATTAATTAACGAAAAAATAGTACAAGAAAGAAACACAACGGATGCTGAGCTGTCACTAGCAACTCCAAGTACTTCCACAGAATCTCTCGAAACTGTGAAAAACAGACAGCCCAAAAGAAACCTCAACGTGTCTGGTCCCGTAAAACCTTATGATGCCGGTTTGAAAAACTTCTGGTACCCCGTCGCTTTTTCTGCAGACCTCAAAAATGATACAATGGTGAGACCCCATTTTCCTTTTTTAGGATTTTAAATTTCGATAAAAAATCAATCTTTAAGTATACATGGACTATAGTTTCTTTTCAATTGATTTAGTTTCTTTATATCAGATACCTTTAGATTGCTTCGAAAAACCATGGGTTATTTTCCGAGGGAAGGATGGAAAACCAGGGTGCGTTCGTAATACTTGTGCCCATAGAGCCTGTCCACTTGACTTGGGCACAGTCAACGAGGGTCGAATACAGTGTCCTTATCATGGTGAGATTACGAGGAAATAAAAAAATATATACGCTGTATCAAATATTAATCACCAATTTTGATGGATTGCTCATAGTATTTAATAATATTCAATTATAATGGCAGGGTGGGAATATTCGACAGATGGAAAATGCGAGAAAATGCCGTCAACTAAGTTTGTTAATGTGAAGATCAAAGCATTGCCATGCTTTGAGCAAGAGGGCATGATTTGGATTTGGCCCGGCGATGATCCTCCTACAGCAAATATTCCTTCGTTATTACCACCATCTGGATTTCAAATACATGCGGAGGTTTGTTTTTTAATTAGTTACCCACAATTACATACTTTAAAATAAAATAAAATATAAAACTAATGTAATTGTCCGAAACAGATTGTTATGGAACTCCCTGTCGAACATGGCTTACTGCTAGACAACCTTTTGGATCTTGCACATGCTCCTTTCACCCATACTTCAACTTTTGCTAAGGGATGGAGTGTTCCCAGGTTATTTTCTAAACATTTTCTTGATTATTATATACATATATATATCTTGATGAAATAATAAGCTTATTAATTTTCTTTTTTTTCTTTTCAGTTTGGTGAAATTTTTGACACCGCAATCTGGTTTGGAAGGATACTGGGACCCGTACCCAATAGACATGGAATTCAAACCACCTTGTATAGTACTATCCACAATCGGAATATCGAAGCCCGGAAAATTAGAAGGTCAGAGCACAAAGGAGTGCACAACACATCTTCACCAGCTCCATGTTTGTTTGCCTTCATCCAGACAGAAAACGAGGTTGTTGTACAGAATGTCTCTCGACTTTGCTCCGATACTCAAGCACGTCCCCTTCATGGAATATCTGTGGAGACATTTCGCAGAAAAGGTGAAAATCGGCTTTTTTTTTTAACGGCGTATCATTACAAATTACGATTTTATTGACATTGAAAATTCGATCTGACAGGTTTTGAATGAGGATCTAAGGCTTGTGCTCGGGCAACAACAGAGAATGATAGACGGGGAAAATGTGTGGAACTGGCCAGTGTCGTACGATAAGCTTGGTGTAAGGTACAGGCAATGGAGAGATTCAGTGGATCGAGGCTCTAAAAGATTACCCTTCACCAAATCACCGTAGATTCAAATCGATTTTTTTTTCTCCGATTGCTTCTTCAGTTCTTCCTCCTTCTTTAACCATCAGATTTTACGATAATGCCCTCCAAGCAGAAGATGATGAACTACTTAAAGTTCGATTATTTGAAAAAAAATTACCGAAACGGAGCTCTGCTAGAACCGAATTGATCCAGAGAAAAATGAAGTGAAAGAGGGACTTAGTTATCACTCTTATCAGCCTTTGTAAAAAGTAAGAGAAGTGAAAATGTACACTTGTGTGTTTATAGGATTTTTCTTCTTTTTTTTAATTTTTTTTTAATTTTTATCTTTCTTTTTTGGTGTATAGTTTTGAGATAAATCGAAAGTTCGAATCCAAATATTCCGATTTTTATTTTTTATTTTTTTCGAATTACAACATCAATAAAATACAATAATCTCAAGTTATTACAGCAAAACACACAATATCTTACACTCTTTACATTTCATTAATAAATTCTAATATTCTCACATATAAAATAATTTATGTTGGTTTCCAAACAGCAAGAAGCTCCTGAAAAATCTCCACAACCAGCTCCCTATCAGCCTGTCTGAAAAACTCATTCATCTCCTCTCTAACATCGTAAATCTTTCCGAAATCGAGCAAATAAACCAAGCACCCTTTCTTCAATTTCTCGAGCTGATAAAGCCAAGCCTCCTGCAATCTCTCGAGCACATTCCCCGAGCTAATATCTTCAAGAAGGCTCTCCTCACAAGCATCTTTCAAATCAACAATGACGTACTTATTAGCCGCACCCAACAAAGCCAAACGGTGCTTCCAAAAATCTTCTTGATTTATAGTTCCGTACAAGTAGTACAAGAGTGCCGTGCAAGATTCTGATGTCATGTCTTCTATCTCAATTATCGAAGATTCTTTCTCCTTTAGATTGTGTTCGAACATGCTGTGGAAAACAGGGGAGCTTGCAGAGAGGACTGCCTTGTGGGCTTTTAGTGAACCGTCCGACGCGTTTATGGTGACGTCAGCGTGGATCGATTCGTGGAGCATGCGCGAGAGGCATTTTAGAGTGCTTTGTGTTGATAGGGTTTGCATGGTTGTGTCGGTTGGCCATATTGAACTTCCTTCTCCGCCCTGTTTCGAAACATATATGTTATCTCGATTTAAAGATTCGTTTTTAATTTGGGCTAGTCGATGTATTATGTATGTTAGCTTACATTTATAGGGCATATTTTGAGGTCGAGAAACTCGACATCGATGGTGATACGGCCTTGAAAGGTGATGTCGACTGCGCAGGCGAAGTCGTCACTCGTTCGAAGTAGTCTCTCGTGAACTGCAATGTATATAAAATCAGCCATCAAATTACTTAATAAGTTATAAACATAATAATGAATTGGATTTATATATAAGCCTAAAGTTAGCTGTAAGTTCCAATATCTCAATTTCTAGCTATGCTTTTAACACAGAAAATCGACCAAGAAAATCAAATTAAAAAGATGCTTAAATAATTGGGAAAAAAAATCTCACGTGATTTCGAAATTCCTGAAAAGAAAGAAAAAGGTGAGAGAGAGAGAGAGGTACTGGGAGAAACGTAGGGTCGGCGATTGGAGGCGGAGGTGGTGACGCGTAGGACGAACCGGGCAATCGGCGGCTGCTCTTAGGAAAACAGAGACGGTTCCGGGAAAAGCCTCACGTACATCGACCGGCTCATCTCCACCGATAAATGCCTATTAAAAATTCTTCGTCAGTCCATCACCATCACCAGCATCATATAGAGAGAGAGAGAGAGAGAGAGAGAGAGAGAGAGAGAGAGAGTGAAACCAGTTCCCATATGCCGATTTGAAAGGGTCGGATCTTTTGAATGGTGTGGTCGGCCCGAAACTGTCGATTTTCCACTGCGCCAGCCTCGCTATCGTCTCCACCTTCGTGTCCGCCATTTTTCCACACTGTGTCTGTGTGTGTGTGTGTGTGTGTGTGAGTGAGAGAGAGAAAGATACGAGCTTTAGTGGAAGAAACTAAAAGTCCACTCACTGTGTGTGTGATTTGATCATTTGAAGGAAGACCAGGGGCATTTTCGTCATACAACACTATTGCATCTTTTTTCCTTTTTCTTCCTTTTTCTCTAATGTAGAAGAAAACTCCGCCATTATCAAAGCATCAAGAGTGACAAATTCCTAGAGAGAGAAAGAGAGATGACGGAGGAGAAGAATAAGATAGTATGGAATGAGAGAGAAAGCAAATTCGAGACAGAGGACAAGAAAGCATACCTAGAGTACGAGGTTAGATGTAATGGAGGAGTGAATGTAATGGACATAACACACACATACGTGCCACCAATCAAGAGGGGCCTCGGCCTCGCCGCTCACCTCTGCGCCGCCGCCTTTTCTCACGCCCAACACCACTCTTTATCCATCATACCTTCTTGCTCCTATGTCTCTGTAAGTAACCTTCTTCTTCTTCTTCTTCTTCATACCTTCAAAGATTGAATTTTTTTTTGTGATTTTCAAGTAAGTGTTGCTAATTGGTTGAAGTGGGATCGAAATTGTTGAAACCCTGTTGCTGAATTTGATTAGTCGTTTGATTGCTGAATTAAAAATTGTTTCTTGATGAAAATTGAGGGGGTTTTTACAATTGGTTTCAGATTTGTATTAGTGATAATTTGCCCTATTTTTTTTTTGTTATTGTTGTGATTTTTAAGAAAGTGTTGCTAATTGGTTGAAGTATGATAAAAAATTGTTGAAACCCTGTTGCTGAAATTGATTAGTTGTTTGATTGCTGCATTAAAAATTGTTTCTTGATAAAAATAAAGGGGGTTTCTTCAATTGCTTTCGGATTTGCACTAGTGATAATTTGCCCTAATTTTTATGTGTAAGAACAATCTAGTAAAAAGTTTTCTAACTGTCCATTGTTGTATATGTAAACTGGGGCCTTGAATTCCATTTTTCTGCACTTGGCAGGATACGTTTCTTCCTCGAAACCCGACATGGAATTCGATTCTGTACAAGGAAGATGTGAAGAAATCTAACATGTGAACAAAGTTGCGACCGACTTTGCTGAATGAAATGTAACCATCCTCTGTTTGTGTTCTTGAATAAACATCATAGTACTGTCAAACTCAGACAATATTTATTAGGCTGCTGTATAATCACATTGCTCTGTTTCAGTTCGGTTTCAACTGTTCTTGCTCTGACTCTAAGGGTGTTCGATTATCTTACGGAATTTTACTTCCGAGTTTCGATAATTGGAATTATTTTGGTAAATGAAGTTGAATTCTTGATTAGCATTACAGCAACAAGGAATCAAAATCTCTCAATCAATTGCACATACATAACAGCTTGTTTCTTACACTGTCATTCTCTAATCTTAAATATGATGCTGGCAAAAGAATACAAACCACAACAAAGCACTGTTTAAAAAAAAAAAAAAAACAGAATAATATATATATTATTTCTATATACACAAAGTTATATTTGAGGTTTCTCTATACACCAAATCAACCAGTTACGAAATAATCCATCTTGTCCACAGGCAGATTCAGCACCGACGTTTCAACCTGCAACACACACACACACACACACACACACACACACACACACAAAGTGGGAATAAATCAGAATGGATATCAAGAATCAGATAAATAATATATACGAGGAAAGAAATACGTACTTCATCGAACGGAACAAAAACGAAAGGGGTAAGACCCCTGTTGTGTGAAACAGCAGGGATATCGGGATTATGTGTTTCATCCTCTTGCCACCCTTCGACTATTCCAAGTATGTCATCGTCACATTTGCTGACCTCGGCATCATTTATACCACTTGTAACAAGTGATAGCAGATCCAATCTATTGTTAGCACCTTCTATTGTTCCCCTTAACCTATTTTTCAATTGAAAATATAAATAAAATTCACTCATTGAAGTCCATAGTCGCAGAAAAGTTAAGTTGCCTTAAAATGACTCCCTTCGTTTAATATTAACGATGTATCGATTCTAGGGTAACATTATATATAATAGAACTAAAGTACCCTTCCAACTAACTATCGATTTATTAATTACTCTTTCCAGTTGTTAAAATTGATGATAAAGGGCAAAATTGGAAAGTAGTAATCCAAATACCTCAAGCGGATTCTTAAAACAGTTGGACTCAAACCAGGATACAAAAGTGCAGCTTCAACCTGCAACCAAGTGGAATGGCTAAAAATCAGATTTTTTTAGTGGATGAATTAATTAATTAATCAAGTATCAAACAAAATCGATTTAAAATTAAAGATCTGTGTTGATTAATAAATAAGAAAACTATCAAAACCAAGACAATTTTTTAAGAATCTGACCTTGTCTTCAGTAAGTGTATACTGTCCACTAAAGACACAATCGGCTTTTGACGCACGGAAATTCATGTGTTTCGCCGCGTCTTTTAATTTTTGGGATGAATTCTATCAACATCATTATAGCAAGTAAATGGTTAAGTACTGAAATAAATCAAATATATTCTCCAATAGTAGAAAAAAAAAATCATAAATTATTACAGTTGCAGGAAAACATTAAAGATAAAGATGATGACCTTGTAGAGAAACCTTCCAGAAGGATAAAATCGTATGTACCGGTAATAGCAAACCTGAAGTGCAAAAATAATAATTGTAATATTCGCAATTGTTATGGTAATAGTAATAATAATACCAAAATGGATTAAACTACGGATAACAATAAATAAATTCAGAACAGAAATTATAAAAGAAAAAAAAAACGGCATACAATATGAACTGGATTGGAGATCTTCCACTCTGCTATTCCGGCACGAATGTAGGTATTCCGACTGACATAAAGACCTACAAATTCAATGCATACGTTCAGCATTGTGTATAAGACAAAAAAAGAGTTGCTAATTAATACTCATTATTTTATTCCAATGGAGAGATAGAATCACCATATCAATAATCGAGAATAAAGAAGTAATTTCATACAATCCAACTATTCGCTTTTTAAATTTATAATACTGAATAATGAAAATTATAAAAATAAAATATATTACCATCAGTTCGAACTCTTGGTCTTAACAACCACATTTTCTTCCACGAACCATGATACACCGATTGCAGAATCTTATAATTTTCCACAACTCCATTGAGCTGCACATGCAAACCTGATTTCAGAATGAAAAATCATACAAAATAATATAAATAAATAAATAAAAAGATGGTCTAGTATGGACCTGCCAAGCTCTTAAGCAAGCATAGCGCCAAAAAACAGGGTTACGGATAGTATATCTCCATTTTCGACAGACGCAAGCTGCCCTCCCCAGGTTATAAGAAGTCATTTTCGAAAATATCTGCCCGTAAAAAAATTACAAATAAATAACGAATCATAATCACAATGTCTTCACTTATGCAAACAAAAAATAAAACCGATTTGCCGTTTCCACCAACAAGTTCTGTTATCTACCAAAATTGATTTTCTATCAGTATTCATCTAAAAAGGTTTCATTTACCACTCGTCTAGATTCTGAAACCGCTCATCTCTAGATTTCAATACCGACAATTAAAAAGTAACTTTAAAGAGTGGAAATCGAGTCAATTTCTTGCACCCTAAGAACGTTGGCCACGTTTCGACACACTACCACAATCTATATTTTTAAGACACGTGACGAAAATGTTTAAATGTCTATGCACAATGAAATAGATGAACGTCTTTTGTAGCAGGTTCGTACCTCCGAAAGCAACTCATCGGGCATACGGTTTATAAGTGCTGTATCGATCAATTCTCTGTTACTCAAACTACCGTAAGGAGTGACAGGTCTCACATTAATCCCATAAAGATCTGCCAACGAAAAAACATGCAATAGTATATATGTCATCGAAATTCCAAACAACATTCACAACTCATGCAAAAACATTTTCTTCGTAAGTTAGTTAGTTACCTAACCACGGCCTATTCGTGACCAAGAATTGAGCAGCTCTTAACCGAGAAGATGCTTCAAGCTCTGCAAGTTTTAATGCATAATCTGCCAAATAACAAAAAAAAAATTTAAAATAATTTAAAAAAAAAAAAATTATTTATTTTTCTAATCAAACAGTGTTAACATTGAGTGAAATTGAATAACATCTACTAATCTGTGGTTTAATTTAAATATATGCAATCAATATCAATTTCTTTAAGAAATAGTGCAAATTCTACCTCAAAACAAGGAGCAAATAGCAATTAAACACTAAACCCAGAATTTACACGAAAAGATCATAACTTGACGAAAACCTAGATTACGAAAACCAATGAAATTACGAAATTGTATGCGTTGATTCTTCGATTATGTAAAATCAAGGAAGTGTATTATTAGGAGATGAAGCTTAATTCTGCTTACCTGATGCCATTTCACACACTTTTGGGAGGGAAGCTCGCCGGGAATTCGATTTCTCTTTGCTTACTGTAAATGGAAATCGATGAGAGAGAAAGAGAGAAAATGGGATTATTTTTCTTCGGTTAATTATTTGTGTCTGTCTTAACTACGTCGCCGAACACAGACCAGTGATCTCATCGGGTTAACGGGACCCGTTTTGTGAGTCGGTTTCATACTGTATCTGGTCGTGAAACGGTGAAAGCGTGCGTAACTCGGTTAACGGTTTGACCCGATTCGTTTTAGAGAAAAAGGCCAATTAACCCGATTCGGCCTGTCGAAATTTACAAAACTAGCCCAATGCTAATGGATTTTCGAATGCGAGGCCCATAGGAAAACTCGGATTTTTTTATAAATTAAAATGAGGAAAATTATTTTATTCCATTTATAATATAAAATGTTAATTATATTAATATGATAGGTGTAATTTTTGAATAAAAAATAGATTTATGACTGAAATTAAAATCAAATCAGAAATAGGGGGAAAATATAGATTTGGTCCCTCAAGTTTGCACTGATTTCACATTTGATCCCTTATGTTCACAAAAAACACATTTAGGTCCCTCATGTTTCAAAAATTCAACATTTTTTGTCATTTCTGTCAATTTTCCATTAGTATTAACGGAATCAAGTGTATGCTCATCACCACCTTAATGGACGGAGTAATGGTAAATTACTGAAAATGACCAAAAGTGTTAAATTATTGAAACATGAAGGACCAAGTGTGCTTTCTGTAAACACGGGGACAAAATGTGGAATCGATGCAAACTTGTAGATAAAAACAGATATTTTCTCAGAATATCATAAAAATTTCCAATTTGTAGTATTTATTATTTAAAAAATAAATAAAGTAAAAGCATTCATTTACTTGTAATAATAATAAATAAATAAAAGAAGACGTGAGGGTCAATTACAAAATTAAATTTCTACATATTATGAGAATCATTCCTGAATCCACGTGGACGATAGCCATTGGCTTATAGTCCAATCCCATGTTAATTTTCGCAATTTAAGGGGGGCCAAAAGTAATTTACCGAAATTGAGGTAGACAGCATCATAGACATTCCCTAGTCAAACAAGAGCCCCCCTCCTCTCCGGTTCCCTTCCCTGCAATTACTTGCTCCGCATACATTAATCGCTCTTTTAAAAACACTCTTTCAACAATACACACTTGTTTAAAGCGTGTTTTGGCCCAAACTGCAAAATAATTCCAGTGGAGAATCCCACACCGGATTCGTTGTGATCGACGCCGTTTTGTCGCCGACACTGTAGCTTAATTTGCCTCCACCGCCGTTCGGTTTCTCCGCCGCCGCCTGAAGATTACATTTCATGGAGACATCGAATGGGCATTCTATGAAACATCAGTACTCATCGCCCTTCGCATCTTCTCAGCGAGATGTCACTTACAGGTGATTAATGGTGGCTGCAGTTATTTCGATTTTTTTTTTTCTCAAATTGCTATTGTTTTGGTCCTGAATTTTGATTTCGATTCCACTGTCACGTCGATTTGTAAGCAAAATTCATAGATTGGGCTTGTTTGTATATGAATATTGCTGCCGTAATTGAATTTGTGATTTAAATGAAATTGAATTTACAAGCCTCATAGGTTTTGGTTGAGGTTTATGATATTTTGAAGCTTATTAGATCTGTCTTATGAAATCTGAGTATTCAGTTTAAATGTGAAAAAAAATTGTTCTTTTTTTACCTTCAAATGTGTGCCAAGAAGTGGACTTGGGTTTGCATATCGAGCATTTATTGTTCTAGAATCGGATTTCAAAGGAAATGCTTATTCTTATATCGTAGGAAATTTGGTTACGGGAGAATTTCGTTAAAGCTCGAGTGTGTTGGGTCAGCGTATAGATAGTAGCCACTGTAACTTCAGGCAACGATCTCTCATTTCCGTAGGGTAATTTTTCGCCGTAGTAATTTTATTTTATTTTTTGTCGTAAAAAATCAATTCTTCTTACAAATCAAAACTTAGGGGAGGGGCAGGATTTGCACCCTAGTTCGTTTACCCTAATAGTAAAGGCTATGCACTAAATGAGGATTGGTTGGAAGCATTAAGAAGGTTAATATGAGCTTGTGAGCATGTCGTATATTAAGATCAGTATTCCATTATCTGTGCTCCAAACTCATCTAAGATGTTGCAAAATCAGTTACTCGTACATATCATGCAAGCAAGTGTCGAATTCTTTCGGATTGAGATCAAAGAACAAGTCATATTCAGATTCAATTGTTGGGACAATGCAAATGTTGTTTGCTTTAGTGGAATATGCCAAGTTCTAACGAATTCGAGAGGTAATTTTCTGCAGAGCTGAAGCTCCATCATATTTTGTGCATACTTCCGAGGTATCACCAGTATGAGTGAAACTTTAAAGATTTCGATGAGCCTTGTTTGGGGATCATTTGGGATTGGGACGAGAGCAAACAAAGACAAGGAGAAATATACTTGAAGACAGCACAAGTTAGCAAAACTGCTGCAAACTGCAACGATAATTTTGTCTCTAACAAGCTTGCTTACCGTTTTCCAACATTTATTTGTTCTTTAAATTTAGTTTGATCAAATTTTGGTCGACAGAAGGAGATATCTATGTCTAATTATTTTACATTTTTTTTCGGAGTCGAAAGCCTATTTACTTGTTCTGTTCATGTTCTTTGGTCGTATTGTTGACCATCCACTGTATTGCGTTCATTTGCAGTTACATAACTATTTTTGTTCATGCAGCTGTGGTTCTTGTGGATATGATCTGAACCTGAACTCATCCAGCCGAAACATGTCGATCATCGGTTCAAAATACGGGAAATCTGTGAAGAAAGGCGTCATTTCTTTCTTCTCCATCGACGAGAGCAGATTCAATCAGGTCGAAGAGTCTACCTGTCTGCCCTACTTCATTACCAAGCTCTCTTGGGGTTTTCTCCAACGGAAAACGAAACTTCTCTGCCGGAATTGTGGGAACCACATCGGAAGTGCTCGTGACAACGATAATGCATCTTCTTACCCTCTTATGACTGATGCACGAAGCTCACCCTCTAGAAGTGGAATTTCCAATAAGAGAAAGTACGATATTATGATTCGCTCTTTGCAACCGTCTCAATCTGGTTTCGGTACTCCTCTCGTCTTATGATTGTCTACTCTGATGACTGTACATTCTCTCTCTCTCTCTCTCTCGTTTACTTCGTTCTTTTCAGTGTGCTATTATTTTTTGAATGAAGTGATCATATGTGTTGATGGAGTGAAATTAATTGAATTTTATGTTTGTGGTTGAGAAATGCAGTTATGTGGTATTAAAAAAAATCCGTTATTTCGAGTGTTGTAATCGAGTTACGGAACTAATGTATTATTATTTATCTTGATGAAAAAGAATAAGGCTGGTGCTCGATTTCCTGTTTTTTTTATTTCTCTTCCATGTTACTTCTGGCTATACTGAAACGAAACGATTTTATCGATGAATTTTACGCAACCACAGACAAGTTTTGCAGCTATTCAAATGACTAGAAAAGGATGGATAAAAAAGCATGTGGACTGTTTGTAAAGGAAAAAAGAGATGGGAAAGTGAATGCAATAGATATAGAGATGATGAACCTTAAATCTTGTCCTAAAAGTCTTGCAAATGCATATGGGTACTATTCAATTTTTGTGACAAAACAATGTGCCTTATTAAAGCTTTTTTGACTTGTGCATGCAAAAATTAAAAATAAAATAAAAAGGGTCTCTTTATAACTAATAAATGAGTTGAAAGCAAAATAAAGTTGCTGCACTTTATTATGCAAGCTTATATATAAAAATAAAAATGAATTGAAGGCAACTATTAATTAGTTCTTTCCACATACATTGCATTCTGCAGTTGTGGGGTTTTATATAAAGGGAAAATTGGTTGACACAATCAAAAGATATCTCCATGATTTTATTGCAAGGATTACAACATGTTTTATGTTTGAAACTAAATCCACTTGAAGAGAAACATGGTTACTTTTTCTTCAAGATAAAGAGATCAAGAACACAAATAATCTCGTAATTCTGCAAACAAGAGAGATATTTTCGTAATTCAGACGTACAATTTAATCTTAATCATATATGATAGATTTGATCACTCTCTATCCACAAAAAGAAGTTAAGGTGTGTATACATATACAAAAGGCCATTAATTTATATTATTTCTTAGGTTGATCTCCTCTTTGTGAGAGTTCTTATCCACCCATACTTAACCATATTTGATGCTGCGTCTACCTTTGTGCCCACGTGGCACGTACTACTGCTGGAACCCTTCCATCTGATGACCTGGAAAAGGTGGCCAATCCTCCTGCGCCACCTCATCGCCGGTTTCGCATGCTCCACCACACTACTCTTGATCTTCTTCTTGTCTTCATGTGAACTTGTGGAGATTAGTTTACCTTTGTCCCATGATGCAACTCCGTTCTCTTCAAACTTGATTGATATATATGAATCTGCACTTTCCCCATTATTCAGTTACTTTTTTTATTTTTATGTATACATATATAAATTATCCATTATATATATATATTGCTGTTAGATCCAACAACTCTTGATCCAATGTTTTTTATTTTATTTTCTTTTTCACTAAAAACAATGCAAAAACCATTTATATAAATAATACTATATGTGCTGATACACAATTAAGTCAAAAAGCACATGCAAGTGGGGATAATTACTATTTAATTTCCAAAAAAAAAAAAAAAGGTATTTAGAAAAAATTGTACCTTCGGGGCTGGTTGATGAACTGTAATGAAGCTGCTGAGTTTTGTGCCGTTTGAAGTCCAAACGGCTGAGGAGATTTGTGAGAGCAAGAATCTTTTGGAGGGCTCTTTTCGGTTTGACCGTGTAAACGGCGTTAGTCTGGGGTTGATTTTGTGAAGCTAAAAGTAACAAGAGCCTTTCGTTGAGGCACAAGGCACAAACACCTACTACTAATTCTTTGGGATGGAAATAACACCACTCTCTTCTTCTCTCATCTCTCAACTCATTCATTTACACTTTTCCTACTCTCTCTCTCCTCTCTCCTTTGTGTGTGTAGTGTGTGTGTGTGTGAGAGAGAGAGAGAGAGAGGTATGTATGTATATATATATATATATATATATATATATATATATATATATATATATATATATGGAGCTAGACCTTGCTTTGACAGAGGAAAGAAAACTGAAGAAGGGTTTGACTGACAGGGGGTTCTTGTCAGAGTTTCTTGAGTGGGTGGGTGGCAATTGGCAGGAATGTTGTGTAGTGTGTGTGTGTGTGTGTGTGTGTGAGAGAGAGAGAGAGAGAGAGAGAGATTGAAAGGGTTGATAGGAATGAATTGGTCCTAAGCAATTTATAGTGTGATGTGCACAAATATAGTTGGTGATTAAATAGCCATCTATTTCTACATTGCTGCTACATTTTGACTAATCTATTACTACTACTATATAATAAATAAATAAATAACAATAATAAATAATAGTATCTTCTTACTGCAACGATTTGATCTTTATTACGATTTTGGAGTATCTAATTCAACATTCTTTTGATTTCTTTTACCCAAAAAATTATTTATGGGCACATGCGTTACAATTTTTTAAGTGAGACCAAGACTCACAAAAAGTTTTGGCTTTAAAAATGTATTATCCATTTGTCACTTGACAAAAATAAATATTTGCAATCTTCAGCTAATCAATCATAGGTAAATTCGGATCAAGCCACTCGATACTCGGCTAAATACTTCATATTTGAAGATCGAACTCCAAATATAGAGCTATAATTTGGAGCCGGTCAAGACTTACACACCTTCGGTCGCCACTATAAAAGTCGATTGAAGTTTACAGTTAAATGCTACTATTCAATAAATCAGTAGTTATAAATAAATCATATTGAATACCAGATTTTAACAATTTTTAATATTTAATCTAATACAAGGATTCGAACATCTTACTAACTAAAATTTTCAATTTTTCTTCTTAACCCAAATTTTCAATTTCGGCCCATTTGGAGGCCCAAATAGTATACCATAGGCCCACATTGTTATAATTCCAGCCTTACTCTTCCCTCAACCTCAAGTATTAAATTCCTCAAATGAAAGAACAAAAAAGCAATAACAGTGTAGTTGGTATAAGTAAAGGAGAAAATGACGAGAAAATGGCGAGAAAATGCAGCAAAAAAAAAAGTTGTTCCCGAGATTACAGTACAATATCTGCACACTTCAGCAAAAAAAGATGGTGGGGGGTAAATATTATCAAGAAGAATAGAGCTTCACAAGATCATCTGAGAAGGTTTTCCTAATGACCTCTCTCTTCAGTTTCAGAGCTGCAGTTACAAGCCCTGATTCGGGTGTCCATGCTTCCGAAATCACTTTGATTTTCGTCGGTATCTCAAACTTCTCCAATCTTGCAGCCTTTCCTGCCTATATATCATAAGCAGAAATCGAATTAAAATATTGAATAAACATTCATTTTAAAGATATAGCAAGCATTGTTAAATCGTTTAATAATGTGTACCTTGATCAATGAAGTGGAGACTTCCTTAAGAGTCTCTTCCTTTTCGCACAATTCCGAGAAATCGGAATATGTGATTCCTTGCTTTGAAGCCCAGGCTTCCAAAGAGGACTGTGAAGCCACCACTAATGCCACACAGTAACTATGGAAAGAATCGGCATACATCATTATATTGTCTATATACGGGCTAACGCTTAGAGCAGCCTCCACCTACATCGGAAAAAAAATGTCAGTATCTGACGAAAAAGTTGGATTGAACTAATGTATTTTTTCCCGGATATTTCTAGAATTGTTGTACCTTTCCGAGTGACACGTATTCTCCATGCTGGAGTTTAACTATGTCCTTTTTACGGTCGATTATTTCAAGGCAACCGTCATCGTGGAATTGCCCTATGTCGCCAGAGTAGAACCATCTCATTCCTTTCTCGTCGACCTTTTCGAGGCAATCAGATGAATGAAATTTTGTATGACTTGAATCACATGCTTTGATTCAAGAGATGCAATAGTAGGACAGTACAACTTGGGATAATCGTGTAAAAAAATAAGTACCTTGTAAACTTCCGTTGTTTTCTCCTCGTTTTTGAAATATCCAAGGGTGACGTTCGGTCCACCAATAAGGATTTCTCCACGTGGCTTTGGAGAATCGCTAATTAAATATCCGCCTTCAGGCCAGTCAATCAACTGGAATTTAAAAAAAGTATTATTGCAGTTAACATTTTCAATCGTGGAAGACTGAGAGAAATACATTTATCCACATAATTTCAAGACCAGCTACTTGACAAAGCCTAATAACCATCGCTCTGGTGAGTAGTTTTGAGTAGATTATGAACGAGTTCGATTGAATATTGTAACAGGAAGACACATGTGTTGTAACTTGTATGGATAAAAGAGGTTAATTTTTTTGCAAAAATAAATGAAGTGAACTAATTTGTGACAATCTAAATCCAAGACTTCATATTATTACACTCTAAGTTAGCAGAGTTTTGCAAACAGGGATAAGAATTTATAACTGGATTAAATTTACCTTGATGACTGAGCAAGGCAGTGGGGCACCAACACGACCAACAGATGTATCATCATATTCACTAAAAGTCCCACCAGCACACGTCTCGGTAAGACCATACCCTTGCCCAATGGGAGCACTGAAAATAGTAATAGATGAGTCGAATTACTAAGGTGATAATAAAAGATTATTCTATGAGCAATAATATGATTCATGGGATAATTCAATGATATCCATAAGAATTTCCTTGATCATTGAGTTTGGAGTTGTACTAACCCAAGACATATATTAATAAATCTTTGAGTGTCACTAGAAAGAGGAGCGCCTCCTGATAGTATGAAGCGAATACGACCACCCAAAATTGCTCGGACTTTTCTAAATACCAGAAGGTTCCATAAAATTCTCTCTATTCCCCATGCCCCGAACCAACTGCCATTTATTGCAGACATTCGACGAGCATATGCCAAATCAAATAGTTTCTTTGGGAGCCCCCCAGTACCATCTATCTGAATAAAAATCCAGTATAGTTTAGATGCATTAGATTTAGCAAAAAAATATCATAAACAATAAAAATAAAATAATAATACTACTAATAATAATGGAATTGAGTGTCAATTTAAAGGAGATATATTAGACCTTTTTGCGCACACCATCCCGAACACGATCAAGAATAGCAGGGACAGCTGCCATCAATGTCGGCTGTAATACTGTAGCGTCCCCTTTTGTTCCCCTCTTTATCTTATTTGAAGTATCTGTAAGAGTCAACGCAGATCCATATCCAATAGAAATTCCGGTAGCTGCCATGACATTCTACAGTACAAAAAGAAGGGCGTGTCTCAAAAGTTGAAAAGGTTTGGATAAGAAAAGGACCACTATAAGTAATTAAAGGATGCAACATTTGCCATTGGAGCAATTTCATTCTAGTACTCAAAGAATCTACTATACCTCAGCTGCTAGTTCAAGAATGTGAGCCAGTGGCAAGTATGCTAAATAAACATCGCGGTTTCCTAGTCCAGGAACAATTGTCAACACAGCAGATGCTGTAGCCAAAACATTGCCATGTGTCATCATCACACCCTAGAAGAGTGAAATGAAAAGAAACGTAAATCAATAAACTCAATTGCAGCTTTAACAGACACAAGGCAATATGTCGACAATTCATCTTCTCAGGCATACAATACGAGGGAACAAAACTTGTTTTAAACTGATAGTGTATGATGCAGTTTTTTTTTTTGGTGAATAAACAACGACAGCATAGAAAAACAGTCATTTAAGTGTAGGAAGATAGAATGCTAATATATAATATACATGATTCTAGCAAACACCTTATCAAATATGACATGTTTCTTAGATGAGGAAGTACAATAATGCAACTTCACAATTTCAAAAGGTTGGAGATATGTACTTGAGAGTTTGCAGAAGAATAAAATTTTGCACACCAATTATGAAAAATGAAATTTGTTAGAGGCAAGTCATACAAACCTTGGGCATTCCAGTACTACCACTGGTATACATTATCACAGCAACATCAGTCGAAAGTGGTAAATCTGGGTCAACAGGGTTTTCTCGGCCCAGTTTGTCTAAGTCCGAGAAGGAAGTGATAGTCCAGTTGGTGCTTCCAGAAACCAGTGAATCATCTGACTGGAATTCATCATCCATGCATATTATACGCTTGACACTGTCAAGCTGCCCACTTATGTTTGCTAGTTTCTTCAGTTCCTTATATCCACAAATCACAGTTGTGACCTCTGTCTGAAGAAGAAAGTGGAACTTATTTTAGAACTTGTCATCAAAAACAGGAAGATTAAAAGAGAATGGAGAAAACGGTATTCCTGGATGTTTTAACATATGGCAATTCAGACACGCATTTATATGAATATACGCTCATTGCTCAGTTGATATGTAATATTGTCGCAAAACTCTAAGCAAGTAATGGCGTCATATCATTAGGTGTTTTAAGCTATTAGACTTTGGGTGACATCGTAAGAAGCTAGAAAATAACACTTCACTAACTTCACAGATGGAAAGTCAGTACATACTCATTGTAATGGCACCTTTTATTTATGAAGAGAATTTGTTGCTTGTAACTTGCAAGAGATTTTCAATCTATGCTACTGCGTGCTTGTGTGTGTGTGTGTGTGTGGAAAGAGAGAATATGACCTCGTTAAATGAGTGACACAGGGCCTCTTCACCTAGGGATGCATAAATGGTCACGACAGTCACATTGCGCCTGAAGCAACCCTGATCAAAGAAAAATAGAGTTAATAATCTCAGAGCTTTCAGCCTTGTTATTTATACTATCTCATTATAAGTTACCATCCTCAAAGAACATTATCAATTTTGTGATTAGCATATATTAAACTTACAGCATAAAAATACCCTCAGATAGCTACATTTCAGATATGTATCTATGATATTAAAATTTCAAATAAAACAAGATTGGACATACCTGCAAAGCAATGAACCATTCTTCACGGGTATCAGCAAAGATTGCTGCACGTTCTCCCTTTTGATGTCCAAGTTGCACTAAACCTGAGGAAAAGTTGCACACCGCTTCAAACACTTGTCCGTAACTCAACCACTCATAATCGCCCAAATGAAGCTTCTCAAAGGACCGTCCATCAGATACTTCCATTTCTCTGGCAATTAACTTTCGAGTCCCCAATAAATTCATGTTGGAATGTATTTTGCATGACTGCTCAAAAAGCTCAGCAAGAGTTGTGACCCCTACCCAGGCTGATTCCACAGGTGAAGTGAACCTGTAGTTTCTTATCGCATAACCAGGTTCTCCTCCAACATCAGCCAGCACACCTCTTTTTTTCGCCTTTTTCGTGTTACGAACTAGAAGCGTGAAGACAATTGGAATGATGACACCAACCAAATAAGGACCCATCTTTCAAACTGCCAAGAAGTACAAAACAAAAGAAATGAGGGCTTACTATCAAATAACATCACAGAATCACAGACGTTTAACATTAAAAATACTAAATTAGAGGGATGTCAAAATATGAAAATACAAAAGCCCGAAGAAGAAACTCTAAGGTAAAACAATTCCAGTAATCTTCTGTAGGTATTCCAAATTTCCATCAATTCAATACAGATTTAGTTAAATATCATTCTAGATCACATCATTCTCAACAAGGAATTTTTCGACTAAATACTAACACATTCTCAGCAAGTAGAACCACCCCATTCATGATAACAGAGCTAAAAGGTTAAGCGCAGAACCAAATAGAAACCATCTCCAATAAGAAAACGCCATATAAAACACCCATACTTAACCAAAAAAATGTGAATAATATAAATCCGAACAAACACCACAAAACCAAAGTGCACGAACATTTTCTCAGCAGACCTATGGAAAATTTCAGTAAACTAACCTATGAACATTTTCTCAGCACATCAATGAACAATTTCCGCAAACTTAAAATTCACACACACACACACACACAGTAACACTATAACAGCAAATAAAACAAAAAATCAACATCAAAAAAATTGGGGAAACTAGAAAACAAAGCAAAATAAAATGGGGGAGAAAATCATACCTGTAATTAACGGTTGACTACAAAACTTTAGGTTCCAGAAAGCAAATCAATTGGTCCGCATTACATGAAATTAATGTGGAAGGTTCGATTAACAATCGGAGGAGTTAAAAAGGGGGTGAGAAATCTGCAGAAGAGAGGCGGATTTTGTATTTGGTGGGCGGAAAAACCTATGAGTGTGTGTGTGGGGTTTTGTAGTTTCAGCTGTGATCGATTGTCAATTTGTAATTGCATTGGTTGCATGTTATTTCTTTGTGGGTATTTTCGTCTTTTCCGCTACTGGGGGTTTGGCGGAGATTTTGTACAGACCACACGTAATTGAATTTTTGTATTCTTTTGGGTTGGAAAAAGCTGGATTTTTCATTTTGTATATGTAATTTATAAGTCACATTTTGTCTTTGTTTTTATTTTTGTTTTTATTTGAATTCTCTCTAAAATGGAAATTTTTTAATGAAAATTCCTTTATTAGCTGTTTTTTTTATATTTTAAACTAGTCCTGTAAATAAACTAGTCGTTTAAACGAGCCGAACATATGTTTGTTCAAATTTATTTGAATTTTTCATCGAATTTTCGAAAGTTGCACTTTAATCGTGACGAACACGAACAAAGCTCGAGTAGTTTAATTTGTAGTGCATATTTTGTTATTCTTTGTACGAATTAAGCAGAATTTCGTAATATAAGTTATCGAACGAGATATGTGTTCAGTTTAATTTGTTATTCTTTTGTAACTTCATATTGTATCCGTGGATTGATGGAAACAGTAAATTATTAATAGGACTGACAATTGAGTCGGGTCTACTTAAAATCAAATTGTTCGGTCCGATTTTATTTAAATCGAACCCAACTAACTATATATGAAGAAGGCCGAGTTTAAACTATTTTATTAAACCACCCGAATAAAGTCCGACAGATTAAGTTAATGATTCAATAAATAATATATTTATTATTTTAGGCTCAACATCTGTAAAAAGTATGTAATTGTTCAATATAAGCCCGATATAAACATGAAGCTCGAAAAAATACACGTGCCGAGTTTGAGCTTATAGTAATGATGTCCAATAGTATATGAGTCAACCCAAGCTCGGCTTACATTGCCCAATTAACAATGACCATACTTTATGCTCTTGTAATTAATAATTTATTGCATTCAAAGTTATTATGAAAACAACACTAGTTATAGAAAAGTTAAAATCTATTATATATCAAACATAAATAATGCAACAAAATATATATCTATTTGAATAAATATAAATATATATATATATATATATATATATATATATATATATATATATATATATATATATATATATATATTCTAGAGTGTTCTAGTGTGCAAATAGGGTGGTGGATGCAGTGAGCACCCTAGACAATTGAGATATGAGACACAATACCCTATCCACATCAACACACAATTGTGTGACTAATAAACTATCGCTATATATCTCTTCAACCACAGCCATTAATTCCTTCTTCCTTACATAGTACATACATTATCACAAAAAAACTAAATGCAATAAAATATTCTGAAGACAGCATACTTTTTTTCTTTTCAATTTTCTTCTCCAGAAAAAACACACACAAACACACACACTGCAGTGTAGGTGGAGAAGAAATAAGTAACTAAATTATATAATTGTAATAATGGCTCAGACAATGCTGCTGAACGCATCAAATGTTTCTTCCGTCGTCCGTACTACTACTAACGAGCCGTTGCTACAGAGACTTAAGCCCAAGTCTTTCTCTCAATTCTTGCTAACTCCAAGAACAACTTCTGCTACTTCCACTCCGGCCTTTTCTTCAACTCTCGCTCTCTTCAAGCCCAAAACCAAGGCTCCTCCTCCCAAGAAGGTTATTATTTATTATTTTTTTTTTAATTATTATTATTATTATTATTCTCCATTTATTAATGTTACTTTTAATTATAATAATAAAACTAAGGATAAATTACAACCATTCTGAGGTATAGTCAAATTATGAAAAACCCCTATTGTTTGGATAATTACAACCATCCCTCAACTCCTCAGATTTAGTGAAATTTTCAAGATAATATACAATACTATCACTTTTGTACTCGTTTTATTCCATTCGAACTCTACATTTTGAAGCAAGATGATCATAAATATGTGTTTTTTGGCTTCTATGTATCAGAAACTGTATTTTTACACAAAACGAATACAAACTAGAACACATTCCACGAAATCTAGATGATTATGTGAATTTGGCAACATAAGGGTGGAGGCATAAAAAAAAAAAATTATAGTTAAGGGGTAGATGTAATTATTCAAACAAGAGGGGTTTTTTGTAAATTGACATACCTCGGGGGTGATGCAGGCACCTGTGGTGAAGGAAAAATCAAAGGTGGAAGATGGAATATTCGGTACTTCTGGAGGAATTGGTTTCACTAAGCAGAATGAGCTCTTTGTCGGTCGGGTTGCCATGATTGGTTTTGCGGTACATTCTTCTTTTTTTTTTTTTTTTTTTTTTTTTTTTTTTTTTAATTATTTATTTATTTGTGGGCTTATTATTACACAGATTAGATACAATTAGTCGCTTGTAGGAATTGGGCTGATTTGCTGGGCCCAATGCTATGAACGGGCTGCTCGATTATTAACTAAGGGCCCGTTTGGCTAACCTGTTTATTATTTCATAAGCTATTTTAAGAGTCGATAAGCTGTTACATATTGTTTTTAGAGGGTGTTTGGTTAAGCTTATAAGATGTTAAAATGAGCTTATAAGATGTTTTAGAGCTTATAAGCTCTTCTAAAGTGTTTGGTAAATTTTTAGAAAAAGATCTTAATTTTTTTTAAAATAAGTTGTTGGAGAGCAAATAAGATCTTTTTAAATAAGTACCTCTACCCCACCTTTTTATTTAAGATCTTTTAATGAGTAAAAATAAGAAATAAGCCCATTATCCAAACACTCTAAAAATTAATCCTAAAAATAAGATATAACAGCTTATCAACTCTTAAAACATCTTATCAGACGTAAGAGTTTATCAGCTGTTTAAAATAAGCTTAGCCAAACACCCTCTTAAAGTATTTGGATAATGAGCTTATAAGCTATTTTTATTCATTATAATATCTTAAATAAAAATTTGGGATGCATGTATTTAAAAAATATATATTATTTGCTTCCTAATAACTTATTTCTCGAAATTTTAAGATTTTTTTTAGAAAACATTACCGGACACTTTGGAAGAGGTTATAAGCTCACAAACATCTTACAAGCTCTTTTTAACCGCTTGTAAACTTAGCCAAACACAATCTTAGAACTCTACTCTTGGTCTGATTTTTCAATTTAGTGATTTTTCTTGATGAAATTAGGAAACTAAATGTGACAAATATTGGACAATTGTTTCGATTTTCAATTTTAATGTACGATTTATTTATTTATTAAAAGTAAAAAATAAAATGGGTTTTGAAATGAGTAAATAATGTAAATGCAGGCATCACTACTAGGAGAAGCATTGACAGGAAAGGGAATATTGGCACAATTAAATTTAGAAACTGGAATCCCAATTTATGAAGCAGAGCCACTTCTCTTATTTTTCATCCTATTCAATTTGCTTGGTGCTATCGGAGCTTTGGGCGACCGTGGCCGTTTCGTCGACGAACCCACCACCGGTCTCGATAAAGCCGTTATTGCCCCCGGTAAAGGCTTCAGGACTGCTATTGGCCTTGGAGAAGGAGGTAATTTCACTTTCTTCCAATTAAATAATAATAATAATAATAATAATAATAATAATAATATATACTAGATTTGAATAATATTTACGTGCAATAAATAATAATAAAACAGGGCCGTTGTTCGGATTCACGAAATCGAACGAGCTATTTGTTGGAAGATTGGCGCAACTTGGAATTGCTTTCTCTATCATCGGAGAAATAGTGACCGGAAAAGGAGCGCTAGCCCAACTCAACATTGAAACCGGAGTTCCAATCAGCGAAATCGAACCGCTTCTCTTGTTCAACGTCGCGTTCTTCTTCTTCGCCGCCATTAATCCCGGCACCGGAAAATTTGTCACCGATGATGGAGACGAATAAGTATTTTCTTTTTTTATGTTTTGTTTTTGCTTTGTTTGTTGTGAAATTCAAGATGTTCAATAATTTATTAACCCCTCCATTTCCATGTAGTAGTGAACTCTTAGTGTATGTATCATAATTATATATCGGGTTTATCGTTTGCTCCTTATCTTAAAATTGGTATATATGATTTTGAATTGTTTGGGGTTGATAGAAAAAGTCTTTCAATTAATAAAATAGGTCAAAAAATTTTTTTTAAGGGTTTAAAATATAGGTTAAGGGTGATAAAACTTATTAGAACTAAATGACAAGTTCATCTAAATATTTTCTGAATGTCTTCAATCCAATTTCACAACACACTCTTAACATATAGGGTAAATTACAAACACCCCCTGAGGTATGGTCAAATTACAAAAACCCCCCTCTTGTTTGGATAATTACATCTACCCCCTCAACTATGATTTTTTCTTACACCTCCACCCTTATTGTGCCAAATTCAACATAATCATCTAGATTCCGTGGAATGTGCTCTAGTTTGTACTCGTTTTGTGTAAAAATACAGTTTCTGATGCACCACAAACTGATATATACAAGTTAAAAATCACATATTATGATCATCTTGCTTCATAATGTAGAGTTTGAATGGGATAAAACGGGTACACAAGTGATAATATTCCATATAATCTTGAAGATTCCACTAAATTTGAGGAGTTGAGGGGTGGTTGTAATTATCCAAACAATAGGGGTGTTTTTGTAATTTGACCATACATCAGGGGGGTGTTTGTAATTTACCCTAACATATATCAGTCATCCATAATTACTTGTAGTGATCCGTAGACAACTATAATCATTCTGAAATTCTAAATCCGCTCTCTTGAACCCTAGTGCAGTCGTTTGATTCATAGCGCCGTCAAACACCCGTAGACATCTATAATAATCATTTTGAATATTCTAGTTTTGCCCTTTTGAACCATAGCGCTGCCAACGAACAAGAACCAACCACCAGCGAGTCGTCATCGCCGTGTACGCAACTAAGTCCGCACATATCATTAATTCACCACAACCAGTCGTCGCCCAAAATGTGCAACGAGCAGACCGATGTCGTCGAAACACCTCGCCAACACTTTCCTGACAAGCCCTAGCGCTACGCGCACAAACGATGATGCAATCACCACTTTCCCTGTCCAAGGCTAGTCGGAGTCAGCACGCTTGTGGATAAACCGTCGCCTCCAGCAATTTGCAGATCCGTTCTTCTCTGTTGCAAAACTTGAAAAACTCAGAAGTGAGATCTAAGAGAGAGAGAGAGAGAGGAAAATACATAGCGAATGAGAAAGGCGGTGCTGCACAAAAATGCTAGAGAGAGAGAGGAGTTGGACCGGCGGAAATAAACGAGGCGGGAAATAGAGAAATGAGAGGATGATAGTATTAGCGTATATATTATATATATATATTACGTATATTATATTATTATTCCTATTTATTCTAGTTACCTTATATAATAGGTTACCTTGTGTAGTTAGGATTAGGGTTTCCTACATATCACTATATATATGATTAATATACGTGAGAGATAAATCATTCTCTCTTTTCTCCAAATATATTTCTCCTATATGGTATCAGACACTAGGTTAACCTAGCCGTCACCATCTTTCTCCCCCTCTCGGCCGTCTCTTCTCTTCTCCATGGCCGGCGATACTTCTTCTTCTTCTTCTTCTTCTTCTTCTTCTTCCTCCACCGGCTCTCTCTATCCTTTTCACCTCGCCCATGCCGTCTTCAATATCAAATCTCTAATTCCCGTTATCCTCGATCTAAAAAATCCCAACTATCAAAAGTGGAGCCATTATTTTACAATTACTGTCGGTCGTTTCTGCCTCTCAGATCTTCTCCATGGCAAACCCCGACCAGATTCAATCTCCACCGATGAATGGCAACGCGCCGACTATCTCCTCCAATCTTGGATCCACGGCACCATCTCCGATGATTTATCCAGCATGGTTCTCTCCAAAACCTCTACCGCCAGTGATCTATGGACGGCTATCTCCTCTCTCTTCACCGATAATAAGGATTATCGAGCCATTCAACTTGAAGAAAAATTCAAGTCCCTCAAGAAAGGCACTCTCTCCATTCACGACTATTGCCAAATAACCAAGACCACGGCGGACAGCTTGGCCGATGTCGGAAATCCAATCTCCGACAAACAACTCGTTCTACAAACTCTACACGGCCTTCCGAAAAATTACGGGACCGTCGCCAATCTCATCTCCTTTCAAAATCCCCTTCCCACCTTTCTACAGACTCGTTCGCTCCTGCAGATGGAAGAAACAAGAATTTCTGAACCGGAGCAGACCGCTGCTGTTTTCTACGCCTCCAACGCGAACTGTCCATCCAACAGTTGCAACAGTTGCTGCAACAGTTCCCGCGGAGGTAGTTCTTCGCGCTATCAGCGCGGGGGTGGCCGATCCAACCGTCGCGGAGGTCGCAGCACTAACCGTCACCCCATGCAGCACTACGGCTATCATAGTGCTCATGGCACATCTCAACTTTGGCGCGCACCTTACCGACAACAGTCAATTCTAGGATCCGCTCAAAATACATCGGCCGACCCAGCGGCTCAAGCCTACTTTACTGGATCACCTGAACCCTACACCGGTCACTCGGCTCCTACTCAGGTTCATCCGCAGCAGCAACCGTGCCACAGCTCTAGCAGTTCCATCAACAGTTGCAACAGTTCCTGCAACAGTGCCAACGTGGTGGATCTCGCAAACCGTTTGAATACGGTGACACTTCAGCAGCCTACCGAGGCACAGTGGTTCATGGACAGCGGGGCGACCTCTCATATGGCACCACACTCAGGTAATTTCAATTTTGTTTTTAATCCTGGCAGTAAATTCCCCAAACATGCTGTCGTCGGTAATGGTTCCACCCTCCCCATAACCCACATAGGCCACACCATTCTTCCCACCACTCCTTTCCGCCTCACAAATGTCTATGTCACACCCAATATCGTCAAACACCTTATATCTGTTCGAAAGTTCACCCGCGATAACTCATGTTCGGTTGTATTTGATCCGTTTGGTTTTTCTGTAAAAGATCTTCGGAGTCGAGTCGAGATTTTCAGGTGCAATAGCTCCGGTGACCTATATCCTTTTGGCGTCCCTCCCCCCACCTCACCTCCCGCTGCTTTCCTCACTGTCACAACACCTTCATCTCGTACTCTTTGGCATCGGCGTCTAGGTCATCCCGGCAAACACGTCATGTCTCGTTTATTTTCTAGCACTTTTCCTTCCCATAATAAAGACCCTAGGGAGTCTCTTTGTAATGCCTGTCAATTAGGCAAGCATTTTCGTCTACCATTTTTTTCCCAAAAATCTACTACGGTTGCTCCTTTTCAAATTATTCATGCTGATTTATGGACTTCTCCTGTTTCTAGCCTTACGGGTTTCAAATATTATCTTGTGTTAGTTGATGATTTTACCCATTATTTATGGACTTTTCCCCTTCGAAATAAATCTGATGTTTTTCCAACCTTTGTCAATTTTCACACACTTCTCAAAACTCAATTCCAACATCCCCTGAAAGCCTTACAAAGTGATAATGGTCGTGAATTCAAAAATGCTGATTTTCAAAACTACTTCACTAAACACGGCATCCTAAATCGTTTTTCGTGTCCCCACACCTCCCCTCAAAACGGACACGCAGAACGAATGATCCGCACTATAACTAACATGATTCGATCCCTCATCTTTCAAGCCCATCTTCCTCCTACTTATTGGGTCGAAGCCCTTCATATGGCCACACACCTACTCAATATCTTACCTACCAAAACCACACAAAACCGGACTCCTCACGAAGCTCTTTACCTCATCAAACCCACATACTCTCATCTTCGAGTATTCGGCTGTCTCTGTTATCCCAACCTCACCGCCACCACACCACATAAACTCGCCCCCCGTTCTACCCCTTGTGTCTATCTCGGTCACCCTTCATCTCACAAAGGCTATCGTTGTCTTGATAGATCCACTGGCCGAATCATAATTTCTCGTCATGTTACCTTCGACGAAACCAACTTTCCTTTTGCTGAGTCCACTCCCCCCAAAAACACACTTCCTCCTTCTGCCTTGGACGAAAACACACCCTCCCTGTTCCTTCTCCCTCAGACTTCGGCTAACTGTTGCAACAGTTCATCCAACTGTTCCAACAGTGAACCACCATCTTCCAACAGTTCGTCCAACAGTCCTATAACACAGCCAACACCTCTTGACCACGGCCAGCTCACATCTCCTTCTCCTACACCCACACCTCCCCCACCTCCCCCTGCTCACCCTATGGTGACTCGCAGTAAAGTGGGCATCCACAAACCCAAAGTTCCTTTCTCTCTCGTTGCGTCCTCTATCTCTTCCATTCCCACCAACTATCGCCAAGCTCTCCTTGACCAAAATTGGCGAAACGCCATGATTGAGGAATATACTGCTTTAATTAAAAACAATACTTGGAATGTTGTGCCCCGCCCCCCGTTCACTAATGTTATTTCTGGTAAGTGGATATACAAACAGAAACTCAAGTCTGATGGCTCCCTTGAGCGATACAAAGCACGGTGGGTCGTTCGTGGGTTTAACCAGCAGGCTGGCATCGATTTTGACGAGACTTTTAGCCCAGTTGTCAAACCAGCCACTGTTCGAACAGTTCTCAGTATTGCTCTCTCGCGATCATGGCCAATCCACCAGCTTGATGTGAAAAATGCCTTCTTACATGGCAATCTCTCTGAAACTGTCTACTGCGAGCAACCTCCCGGATTCGTCGATCCATCTCGCCCCACTCACGTGTGTCGTCTCAACAAAGCACTCTACGGTCTCAAGCAGGCACCACGTGCTTGGTACAAGCGTTTTGCATCTTACATTACTACCATGGGGTTCATAGAATGCAAGTCCGACACTTCACTCTTTGTGTACTGTCGTAACAGTTCACGCGACTGTCGCAACAGTTCATGCGCCTACCTTCTGCTGTATGTCGATGACATTGTACTTACGGCCTCCACACCTGAATTGCTCCGCTCTATCATCGCTGCCCTAAATCAAGAGTTCGCAATGAAGGATCTTGGCGATCTTCACTACTTTCTCGGCATCTCAGTTACTCGCTCGTCGAATGGGCTATTCCTCTCTCAACGCAAGTACGCCGACGAGATACTAGAGCGTGCACACATGGCTTCCTGCAATCCTTGTCTTACGCCGGCTGACACAAAGAGCAAATTGTCTTCGACCACTGGACCCCCCGTTGCAGACCCTACTCTTTATCGCAGCCTTGCCGGTGCACTGCAATACCTCACGTTTACGCGTCCTGACATCTGCTATGCTGTGCAACAAATATGTCTATTCATGCATGATCCGATGGAACCTCATATGGCTGCTCTCAAGCGTATCCTTCGCTACATTCGTGGCACTCTCGATCACGGCCTTCAACTCTCCCCCAATCCTGACCTCTCCCTTATCGCTTACTCCGACGCCGATTGGGGTGGATGCCCTGACACTCGTCGTTCGACATCGGGCTATTGTGTTTTCCTCGGCAACAACCTCATCTCTTGGTCCTCCAAACGACAGGTCACTACTTCTCGATCGAGTGCGGAGGCCGAATATCGAGCTGTCGCAAATGCCGTCGCCGAAACAACTTGGTTACGCAACCTACTTTCTGAGTTGCTCTGCCCACTTTCGAAAGCCACTATTGTATACTGTGACAACGTCAGTGCCGTCTACCTATCCAGCAATCCTATTCAACACTCTCGTACGAAACATGTGGAGATCGATATCCACTTTGTCCGAGACAAAGTTGCTTTGGGACACGTTCGAGTTCTTCACGTCCCATCCGCCTACCAGTTCGCCGATATCTTCACGAAAGGACTCCCTACTCAACTGTTCCAACAGTTTGTCTCCAGTCTCCACGTCCTCTCCTTTCCCGTTTCGACTGCGGGGGTGTATTAGCGTATATATTATATATATATTACGTATATTATATTATTATTCCTATTTATTCTAGTTACCTTATATAATAGGTTACCTTGTGTAGTTAGGATTAGGGTTTCCTACATATCACTATATATATGATTAATATACGTGAGAGATAAATCATTCTCTCTTTTCTCCAAATATATTTCTCCTATAGATAGAATGAGAGAACATAACTTTTCGATCAATTATATTTAAGGGCATTCTCGGGTTAAAAATAAATAAAAAGATGTTTATCAATTTTTATTTATAACTAATGATTTAATTAAAATATTCTATTTGAAATCCATACATATTACCCTTTTCTTTTGTACCTGATTAAATAATTTCAATTACTTGAAAATATGTTTGTTACATGCAAATTGGAGAAGAGTACATCCAAGTTCTTGATCCGTTACACAATTAATTTTCAGTGTCACATTCCGTAACACAAAATCGATCAAATGAGTGGTTGTGATTGTTCGATATTTCGTGTCGAATAAAATGTCTGGTGCATGATATGGACTTGGACTTTGTACAATGTTTTTTCCTCGTTTTGTAGATGCAACATTTTGTACCTACAACTATTTGTGTGTACATTTTAATGTAATTAATGCATTTGGTGTGCTTGATTATCTTATACTCTAGGATGATCAAATAAGATATTAATTTATAGATAATTCTACAATTTTTTAAAATATTTTCAAAAATTACACTTATGATATCAATATTATTAATATTATTTATTTTATATTATTGATGAATAAAAAAATGAACTTTTAATTTTCACCAATTTCGACCCTAAGTGTTTTGATTTTGGAACAAATTTCAAATTCCGAAATTCCGATTTTCACATTTCTCGAAATGTCTTGGCAAAAAATTGGTTTTTATTCCTTTAAAAAATCTTAATTCCGATCCAATCCATCAGATTTCCACTATTATATTTAGTTGATCAACAAAATGAACCAAAAAAATGATACTTGGATGTCGATATGAAACTTAATCAAAGTCGTGTGACATAATATGAACATATCCAATCGAATCATATGGAGAACACTGTTGCCACAAAAGAAGAAATAAAAAAATAGTAGCAAAAATTAAAATAAGAAGTGAACATGTGAAGATAAAGAAAAACTATTGCAATTGGATGTAAGAAGACAAATGACAACTCTTTTTTGTAGTAAATGAAGAACTATAGATGAAACATAATTTATATTTTATTAAAAATAATAATAATAATAATAACTCCAATATAGCAGGGGGCACCTTCTCATATAAATATATGGCCACTGGCACTTTGCCTGTTTTTAATTGCATGCTTCAAAAACAATTCCCAAATTTTTGTCGCTTTTAATTAATTCTACATTATCATATATATATATTAGAAGGTAGATGATAAATTTTGTTGAAAATATATTAAGATTGATAGGGAGTCAAGGACTTATTTGACATTTTTTATTGATCTCTCTTGATTATATTTTATTTATTTTACGAGTCGATTTTTTTTTTTCTTTTTTGTAACGAAAGAACAGATAAATATTTGAATTTTTTTTTTTCTAATAAATTATTTTGAAGTCGAATTTCAGATACTTATAAAACGCGTTTGAATTTTGTCGAAAGAAAAAAGGTCAAAAGAATATTAAAAAACGGGTCAAGCTATAGAGAGAGAGTCGTGGACTTCAATACCACCTCTTTTAAACCCTACAAAATGTGCGGGCTCCACTCAACTCCTCCGACTTCAAATCTTTGGGTAAACTAAAACCAACCCCTTAAATAAGATCAAATTATGAAAAAACCCATAATGTTTGGGTAATTATAATTATCCTCTTCAACTATTAATCTTTTTACACGTCCACCCTTATGGTGTCAAATTCAACACAATCTTCTAGATTTCGTAAATATCCTCTTGTTTTGTGCAAAAATGAAGTTTTTAATGCACCACAATTTGATATATATAATATACAAGCCAAAAAACGCATCTTATGATCATCTTGCTTCAAAATATCGAGTTCGAATGAGATAAAATAGGTACAAACTTGAAAATATTTCATATAATCTAGAAAACTCCACTAGATTCGACACCGCAATGGTCGACATTTAAGAAAATTCATATTTAAGGGGTGTTGTTGTAATTACCCAAACAGAAGAGGATTTTTCGTAATTTAACCTTATCTGAAGGTGGTTGATCGTAATTTACTCCAAATCTTTAGATCTTTCCACCCAATTTATACACGTGACTCTATCTATTTATTATTTATACCCTTGCAAAATTGCATTCACCCACTAGTCTTTTTTTTATATTATTTACCCCACGTGTTCTTATTCCACCACCCCCCACCCCTGTTTTCCCTTAACCGTTCTTCCCCTTTCACATCCATAAACAACTCTCTCTCTCTCTCTCTAGCGCTCTCTCTCTCTAACTTTTCTCTCTCTTCACAGCTATGAAGCTTCCTCACAAGAGCTCATCTTATTTTCAACTACTGATGATATCTATTTCACTAGCCATCAATTACTGCGCGATTTCCGTTTCAGCTTCCAAATCCACCGACCACGATCTATCGTACTTCGAGTCCGCGGCTCTGGCGAAACCCTCGTTCAAATCGAAGAACCAATCGTCCTCGCCCGCCGGCGAGAAGAAACCGGCGGCGGCGGCGGCGGCGGCGTTCGGCGCGGACTGCGGCACATGGAGCGCGGCCTGCTCCGACGAAATCATGAGGATCGCGAAGAAACCGGAAAACGTGAAATGGATCAAATCGGTGCGGCGGAGGATCCACGAGAATCCGGAGCTGGCCTTCGAGGAACACGAGACCAGCCGCCTTATTCGCCGGGAATTGAACGAGCTGGATATTAGCTACCGCTTCCCGCTGGCTAAAACGGGGATCAGAGCCGTCGTCGGAACTGGTGCACCGCCGTTCGTCGCCGTCAGAGCTGATATGGATGCCTTGCCGATTCAGGTTTTAAAAAAAAAAAAAATTTAAATTAGTTACATTTTGATTTATTAGGCGGTGTAAATTGAAATGATTCCTTTTTTTTTTTTTGGTGTATTATTAGTTGATTCCATTTGTTTAATTAGAAACTAAGTGGGGTTGGGGTGGGGGGGGGGGTGAGGTGGGGGACCAATAATAAGGAATAAAAATATCACTTATTTGTTAGTTGCAGTGGTGTTTGCAAAAGCTTTTTTTAAGTGATTATGAGCATTTTTTGCTCATAATTTGTTTTTAAGTATTTACAAAATCAATTTTTGTTTCTACTTGTCTTAAAATAATCTACTTTAACCTATTTTTTTAAAAGCACTCCTCCTAACTCTGTTCTTTCTATTTAAGTTCATTTTTCGGAATATTTGCAAACACCCCCAACTATTAAAAATAAGCACTTAAAACTGACTTAACTCACAATCATTAACTTCTGCTATTAAATATTATTTAAATTCATTTTCCGGAATATTTGCTAACACCCCCAACTTTTAAAAATAAGCACTTAAACCTGACTTAACTCACAGTCACTAACTTCTGCTTTTAAATATTATTTACAAAAACCACTTAGGTGGTGTTTGCAAATGCTTTTTGAAAGTGATTATGCAGTTTTTTTTGCTCATAATCTGTTTTTAGGTGTTTGCAAAATCAACTTTTGTTTTTGCTTCTCTTAAAATAATCTGCTTTAAGCTATTTTTTCAAAAGCACCCATAACCCTGCTTTTTCAATTTTAGTTCATATTCCGAAATATTTGCAAACACCCCCAACTTTTAGAAATAAACTCTTAAAACTAACTTAAATCACAATCACTAACTTCTGCTTTTAAATAATTATTTACAAAAACCACTTAGAAATAGTTGCCTAATTAATAGCCAGAAATTGTTATTAATCTGTTTTTGTAGTCACATTAATTTATTAAAATATTATATTTCATTATTGAATATTGAATACGAAATTACAGTAGAATAATGGTAAATTATATCTCAATTAAAATGTGCTTCTTTAATTTTCACAGGAAGCTGTTGAATGGGAGCACAAAAGCAAGAACCCAGGCAAGATGCACGCATGCGGGCACGATGCCCACGTGGCAATGCTGCTCGGTGCGGCCCGGATTTTGAAGGCGCGTGAGCATCACTTGAAGGTTAATTTTTTTTTTTATTAAATTTTTTTTTATTTATACATAGAAGATAAGATTTTTTTTTCTTCATTTATTTTTTGAGGTTCTAAATAAAAATGATATGACTCTTCAATTACTAAGTGGCCATATGACATTTACATTTCATCTACAACTAGTTGACCCAACTTGCTTGATTGAACTGAAAAATAAAATCTTCTATAGAAAAAATAAAATAAAATAAATAAATAAGGGATAAGGTAGATAGATGTAAATAATGCAATTGAGAAATGACGTAGGCTTTATTTATAAAAAAAATAGAAATAGAAATAGAAATGACGTAGGATTGTAATTTATCTAAGATTGTGAGATCAAAAATCAAGTTGGTAATGATGGCCAGAGACGATATAGCATCATGTAATACGTACAAAATAATCTAGGGCTTCTGTTCCACGTCTATTTCAATCTTTGGTGGACAACCAATAGGAATCAAACACGTGTCTGTTAAATAGTGTCCGAAATAAACTTGAGATTTGACTACATATGACGATACGACAGACAACTGTACTGTGTTGGAACACAGTACAGTTTGAAAATACCCCTATTACCCCCACCTAGACAGGGACCCTAGTCTACCCAATTTCTGATTCACTATTTTATTCTATTTTATTTTTATTTATTTTTTAAATATTAAAAATGTTGGTATTGATTGAAAAATGGAATAGGGGACGGTGATTCTGGTGTTTCAACCAGCAGAAGAAGCTGGGAATGGAGCAAAGAGAATGATGGAAGATGGTGCTTTGGAGAATGTCGAGGCTATTTTCGCCATGCACATATCACATCATCTTCCGACAGGTGTCATCGGCTCGAGATCCGGCCCTTTACTCGCCGGCTGCGGCTTCTTTAAGGCTGTCATAACCACCGGAGGAAACGGCCTTCACCGGAATATCCACAACTCCGGCGACCCCCTACTTGCCGCCTCGGCCTCCGTCATCAGTTTGCAGGGCATCGTTTCCCGCGAATCCAATCCTCTCGACTCTCAGGTACAATTAGAGTGAACACATGGATGCTGAATGCAATGAACCCTTTCTTAATCGAACAATTTTCTCATTTTTCGGCATGTCGTTGCTTTCAAATCAGGTTGTATCGGTAACTTTCTTGAAAAGTGGAGACGACAATCTTGATACACAACCAACAAGTGTCGAATTCGGCGGGACCCTCAGGGCTTTCTCCAACACGAGCTTCCACCACATACTTAGACGAATCGAAGAGGTCATAATCGCCCAAGCCAAAGTCTACAGATGCTCCGCGACAGTTGACTTTTTCAAAAGCTCGGACAGTATGTACCCTCCAATGGTCAATGACGACAGAATGTACGAGCACTTGAGGAAAACGGCCATTGACTTGGTGGGGCCCACAAACTTCCGGGTCGTCCAACCGGTGATGGGGGCGGAGGATTTCTCGTTCTACTCGGAAGTGGTCCCTGCAACTTTCTTCTACATAGGAATCAAGAACGAGACATTGGGCTCCGTGCACTCGGCACATTCCCCCCATTTCATGATTGACGAAAATGCCCTTCCGGTGGGAGCGGCAACTCATGCTGCCGTTGCGGAGAGATATCTACACGACCGTGATATCTCAATCAACGGGATTCTTCATCGTCAAGAATGACACTATTTTGTGCATAACTAAATATTAATTTTTTGCTGCTTAGGGTATTCATATATAGGTAAATGGGATAAAAGGGTAAAAGTTTTAGTCCACCCTCATGCTAATGGATCAATCAAATGTGGTATAAGAAAAGTAAGTTAGAGAATTTTATCGATTTATTTATTATTGTTATTATTTATTTATGCAGTAGTTTACCTTTATATTTGATAATACAAAAACAAATAATAATAATACAAATACCATGCTATTTTATACATAACGTTTAATGATGCAATGAATATACTACTCTCAGAATTCGACACACAGCTACGAAAATTTTATTCAGACAAGCGTAAATATCACCTCTTCTCTCCGGATAAGCATCTACCAGCTTGCAGAGCGAAATACGTGAGGATGATGTCAGCACCTGCTCGACGAAGACACATCAAAGACTCCATCATCACTTTCTCTTCGTCGATCATTTTAAGTACACCTCCAGCCTTAATCATTGAGTACTCACCCGAAACCTAGTACAGATTTTCGAAATTAAACAACCAAATATAAATAAATACATGTTATATAAAGATTCGTAGATTCGTAAATGTGAAGTACCTGATATGCAGCAATGGGCAAAGAAGAGTTGTCTCGAAGAAGCCTTATTATATCCAAGTAAGGTAGACCAGGTTTCACCTATATTATATCCAAGGGAATTATCATCAGAAAAAAAGAAGAATAATTTGGGTGGGACCCACTCCTTAGAATCGAGTCAACTTTACGGGGAGAGAGTCAAACATACCAGGAGAATGTCAGCTCCTTCAGCCTCATCCGCGTGGGTTTCGATAAGGGCTTCTCTGTAATTTGCAGGATTCATCTGATATCTATATTTGGAATGTTTATGCAAAAGCGATGCTTCGTTAGGACACACGATTTATCACATAAAAAAAATGAACAATTCTCGAAAAATTAGGTTTGACAAAATAAAGAGCATACGTTTTCTTGTCTCCAAAACGTGGATTCGAGTCTAGTGCCTCTCTGAAAGGTCCGTAAAACGAACTTGCGTACCTGAAATACCAAATGTTATATGTCTCAACGTATATCAAACATATCTCCCAACATAAATAAAATATAGTATGTTGATTGCAGTTTTATTCATAGTGAACTTTGTAAGAAAAAAAAAAATCTGAAAAAAAAAATAATTACTTGGCAGTATAGGACATAATCGAGACATGCTGAAAGCCTTCAGCATCGAGAGCGGCTCGAATAGCTCCTACACGACCGTCCATCATGTCACTGGGACTGACCACATCTGCCCCTGCTCTCGCCTACAAAGAATCATAGTTCGTTCGTTTAATTGGAATAAAAAGATTCGTCAAAGCTAAAAGTATAGTACACAAACTACACACTTTTAATGTAAAAAGAAATTACCTGAGCAACGGCTTGTTTACACAACTGATGCACAGTTTCATCATTCATAATAACTCCTGCAATATATTCCAGATTTTTTTAAAGATTTAGCTCAAAGTACTACCTCGTGTCGATTATATTCACCGATCAATTAAGCAATCTAATTCTTGAATACAATGAGGGAAACTAAAAAAGATAATAAGAAAATAAAATTCCGAAAGCAGAAGAGACTCTGCATCAACAACCAAATGCAACAGAAGAAGCATGTCTTACCATCTTCTCGAACAATGCCATCATGCCCATCCGATGAATATGGATCTAAAGCAACATCAGTATAGATAATCTACAACAAATACAAAATAAAAATAAAAATATTAAAGACGATATCGAATTTCTCAGATTTAATAATTCACATACAAAGAATGAGACGTACTAGATCCGGAAACTTGTCTTTAAGTAGCCTAATTGTTCGAGGCACAAGTCCGTTTTCATTGTAAGCTTCATCTCCCGTAGAATTCTACAGAAGAACAAAATTTTGTCAAAAGGCGTTAGCTTCTTAGACGAATTAGAAAAGGACTTATTTTACACAAATCTAAGAGTAGTCGCAAAAATGCCGAAAAAGAATTTCGATGGAGTAAGAACCTTTAAAGCATCCGGGACTTTTGGAAATAGCACGATGCTGTTCACACCAACATCTCTAGCTTTAGAGACCTGCACGAGATGAGCTTATTCAGAAACTTGACGTTTATAGAGATTTATCTTTAAGTACGCGAGTAGATTTTTTCCAAACATAAATTACCTCTTCGACAAGTCCGTGCCTCCACCCAAGCCTGTAGCATCCAGGCATTGCTCCAATCGGAGTGTCTTCTTCACCTGCATACATACGTTGTACTATGAGAGACGTTCACCAAGCACAAGAGATAGAAAAAATAAGATGGTTTTAAAGTGTTTGAATTCACCTTCGTGGATGAAAAGTGGATAGACGAGATTTGCAGGGCTTAAACTCGTTTCCTGGAATGCCGCCCTCACAGCTGGCGACCTACGATTCCTACGTGGTCGCCGACTAATTTGCTGTTACAAAATATTACAAGATAATTATTAGGGAAAATCTTGGTTATTAAGAATATATAATATATACTGTTACCGATGCATATAAAGTATAACTAGCAAGAACTGAATCATATGATCTCCGAAACAGAAGGCAATGCAGCATATGTATATGCCAATTAGATCAAAATGAATTATTGTTAAATATTCATATTCACACAATACGAGAACTTACAAGGGAGGCGACTGCAGGGGTGCCAGCTGGCGCAGCTGGTTTTGGCGGCACTGGAGGAGCATCTGGAACATTCCCCGCGACCACTGCAGCCTCACAGTCCTCGTCGCTCATTCCGGTCTTATTAACGGATCCACTGTCACGAGCCTCACCGGCCCTTACCGTGAGGGTTCGCGGAGCAATTTTGATTGAATGAGGCCTCACACAGAAGATACTCTGATTCAATTTAAACGGCTTCAGACCCATATAGTCGAATTTTACGGTTGTACTAGAACCGTAATTCACTGAGTTGAGCATCATCGAAGCCATTTCAACACCTCGTGTAATACTCGGAGTACCTGTTCAGTAAACTAACAAAAGGAAACAAATAAGTACAACATTAACATTTTTTTTCAAACTTCATCTCTTGTTCTAAGAAGCATTTTGACATACAATACGTGTGCACGGTTTCGGATCAGGGGTTTTTACGAGAAACATCAAACACACAGACAGTCAAAAGTCAAACCATTACGAATGTGGATTTCAGGGGGGAAGAAGTTGAATTATTTGAGGTAAATTCAAAAAGAAAAATTGAAGATAAAGGGATAAATCAATAACAGATTACGCGTTTGAGGAGAATCGAGTCAATAATTCAAAAGCCCAGATGAAAATTGTGAAGAAAGAAGATTGATAAAGAACTCACCTTATCTGAAGAGCGGAGAATCGAAACAGCAGAGAGAGGAATAAGGTTGTCTGGATTTTTGATTTCGGTCCGTTGTCACGTGGATTTCTGCGGAAGATGATGTAATAAGCTCTGCTAATTTGCTACGCTTTCTATCTTTCTATATCTTCTTCCTACCAAATGGATGTGATGACGACTTCTTCTTTTATTTTAGAGTAGCGACTATAGGTGAAATTGGAGGGAACTGTAGAGAGTTTAATGCAGGGATGCGATCTGTTGTGGTGTTAGAAGGTAGACTCTCGTAGTTATTACCCTTCCTTTTTACGTGAAGCGGTAATTTTTTTTACAATTGAAATGGTACTGTAAATTTTAAATTTTAATTTTAATTTCCAAAAAAACAAATTATTTCAAACTTGAAATTTTAGATTATGAATCAAATTATTTCATTCCGTTTTTTTACTATTCCAATTTTTTTATGGGAATGAAATTGGAATTAAATTCACGTCTACAAAAATTCGAATGTGCTAATTCGGACAGATCCAAAGATTTTTAACGTTGTGTAATCTTCACACACAGACGCACGCGCGCGCACACCACAGTATTTTGCAAATGCTAGCATGATAATCAGACGCAATTTTGAAAACCGGCACGATGAAAGAAAAACTACGTAAACTCATAATTAAATTACGAAGTTACACTACAGCCACAAAACTGTCACTATAGACTATAGTAGCTACGCAATAATCTTAAAACATCTGAAGAAGTATCGTTTCGATTTCCGTGGTTTCAAGCTAAGCAAAAAAGAACATTAAATAATCCACTAACTAAGCCATTTGATTTTTCAAGAGTTGATCCTGCAAAAAACAAAGGAGCTCCGAAATATTAATACCAGCAGCATTTGCTTTCGTTTAGCTTCATATTCACAAACTTACGTATAAATGGCCTTATTTCATGCTTTTGTGCTTGTCTTTTATTTATTGGGATCTTGTTTGATGTTCTAGATACTGGCTGCTATTGATTTGAGGTGAAATATGCATGAACAAATTCGATTTATTGAATCAGAAATTCGATGGCTATGTGGAGCATATTTTTGCATGCATCGTAAAAATTGGTAATTGTAAAATTGTAGGGCATCAAATATAATCGTTCGATTATGCATGACGGTATGTATCTTGAATTGTCTAGGCTCGGTCTTGATTCCAATCTGATTACGTAACGTGACATGATTGACTTGAGAATTTCTATCATCGATCAGTTTTTGTCTAGCTAGCTCCGATTGTTAACTTTCCCAAAAAATGAAATGCATGAATTGTGATCCAGTCATTAACGAGTACGTAGTTACGTTGATGATTCTTAACGAGCATCGTCTTTTCATATTAATGATTAATGCTTATATATCAGCTAGTGTTTCTTTTTGTAGGTCGTTTTCTTTGGTTTTACCGGTATTAATATCTTGGTTTGCATGTCTCTTTTCCTTTATCGTGCATGCACTAAGTAGGTTTCGTTTCGTTTCGTTTCGTCACGTTTGATTGTATGCATGTTATTGGTAGGTGTTAATTATATTTGAAACCCGAAAGCCGGAAACCCGATGCCCACACCACACACTGGCAGTTGAAAAATATCCTAGCCGACTTTGGTGGCGATTTGAGCCAAACAGTACCCATACATGAGCTAGGGATACACGCAATTCCCCGCGTGATGAATATACTAATTATATATATATATATATATATATATATATATATATATATATATATATATATATATATATATATATATATATATATATATATAGATATAGAGAGAGAGAGAGACTACGTAAACAATATTTCACCACCACCACAGCTGAGGGAGAAATAGTTAGGTACCTAAAACTGATTGTATTTAATTTTGTACGGTTGCTTGTTTTAGAGATGCCGGCATATGAATTATATACCTCATTAGAGCGAACATCAACAAAATAAAAACATAAAGTCGAAGAAGAATAAAAGTCGGATGACTAGTTCAAACTTGCAAGTCAACATTCATATTCGAACGGCTCAAAATCAAAGTTTCCTCTGGTCACTAGTATCGCCGTACCGCACAATCAGTCCAGCTGCCCTGGTCTTCTCGTTCTGTAAATACACCACAACCACAATCAGTCCAGCTGCCCTGTTCGGCTTTGTTTTTACCTTGAATATTTTTGGCTTGCCTTGTTGATATGGTGCAGCTCCATGGTTTTCCCCCCCAAACTCAAATGGGTATTTCAATGCATGCGGCGTCGCCTATAGACTTGCATACCTATATAATTGATATACATATTAGGTAATATAATTGTGTAGGCTGCACTTATATGATTCGATCAATAAAATAATCAATATCCGATCCTATGATATATCAGACTTTAATTTCTTACACAATCAGAGTTAGATGGCACTTCACTGCTAATATGAATCATACAAGCACTTTATTTACCTCATAAAACCTCCATAAATTTCCCTAATTCTATATTAAATATAGGTTTTATGATGACCTTATTACTATAAAATGGTGGCTTTGTGGCTTGAAAAAATAGAGGAGAGAACATAAAGAGTGAAAGAAAAATGTCTTTCAAAAGGATCATATATTATATACATATATTGAGCTCTTGTTGTGTGTCGGGTGTAAGCTTCTGCTTCACTTGAACGTGCAATTTCGGTGAAGTTACAGCGGAGAGATAGGCTGGGCTGTTGTATCCCATAGGCGACACGATCGGAACCTTTTTGCACCTCATTAGAGAAGGGGTCGTGAAATTCGCCTCACCTTGCCTATCTCCATATTATCATGGTTTTTGTTGCAGCAACTTGTTACCTATAAAATTAGAGAACAAATGGAGTCCAAGCCTCATCCACAAGTTTCGTGATCAATCGTCGAAGTGCAGCCGTGGTTTCTACAATTTAAGACGATATTTTTTGATCCCATGAAGATGAGCTTTGACGATGATCCAAAAGAGCAACCCTTCATGATGGAAAGGGAGATGATTCGTTTTTATTTATTATCTTGTGTTGACTAAACAAAATTAATAATCTTATTTTTGTTGTAGGTGAATTTGTTGTGCAATTCACGAGTTCATATTTTGAGGTCAGTTTCGGACCAGATAATATCCGAATTGAGAATGTGTAAAACACGAAATCTTTAGGCACTTCTGATGGCTGTCCGAAACATCTTGAATCACTGAAATCGGACTTCGAACGAGAGAGATATGCCCCAAATACTGAGCACTGCTACAACTGCCAAATTATGCGCGTTTTTGAGGCATCGAAAGAATTCGTAATAGAAATTAATCGAATCTGGTACGTTCTTCATTTCCAAATTAATTATGATATCTTGCAATACAATAATAAGTTTGTGATAGTTGTGTGAATAATAATTGCATACAAAATGATATTTCTAAGAGTATGTTAAAAACAAGAGTCCAAATGCATGTTATGTGATTTAATTGTTGCTTTGAACAATTTATTGCATTTATTTCATTATATTGTATGTGTAACCTATCTGACATATGAGATATATTTATTTGAAATTTCAATATAATATGTGGTCGCTTATATGATAGTAGCTATAACTTAATTTGTATATGGATTGATTCACTAGTATTATTATATAATATTATATGCTGGAAATAAAGTTCTTCAGCAACAAGCAATATCATTGTCCTATTACAAATTAATTAGAATTCACGTAGTTGAAACTATTTATGATTATTTATGGTGCCCAAGGATATAGCCATTATTTGTATATGCTAAACGGCTATAAAAATCAGAATAATAATCTTGTAAATTGGAGAAGTCGGTTACAGAAAAGTAAAAGTAAGAATTGGTTCTAGATTTTTAATTATATATTTTCGAATTAATTATTTCATAAATCATCGGCTTCAGTTATAAAATGTAAGAGTAATTCTTTTATACTAGTTTAAATGTATGAGTAATTATTTGGTTAATGTGTGCTTACTTGCATTTAACCATTGATGTTACCGTTTGCACACTATTAACCAATGTGTTATCTTTTGTGCGTTGATTAAATATAATAATATACTATTTTTTGAAAAAAAATGTCTGATTAAATTGACAATTAGTGGGGGTAATGGTAGTTAGCTCTAATTGAGAATTGAACATGATCATAATTGTTGAAATGTATCTTGATTCATGATTCATTAGGTGGAGTTAATATTGTATGTGATTAAATAAATTAAGAAATAATGGGTGCCATAGGAATCACACCTAATTAAGAAAATGAGCATGATATATTATATCTTGAATTTAATTCATCATGTATGTGTTGAAACATTTGATGTGAATTAGTGGGGGTTTTAGAGAGCATGATCATATGATTAAACATTTTATGTATTGTTTAAATATTGAGAAATAGTGGGGGTTTTAATGTCTACTTATATGAGCATGTTACAATTGATTTTAACGCGATCTTTATTTAAATTGCCCACTTTATGATTGCAAATTTGAATAGTGATAATGTGATAAATTATGCTTTATTTGCAATTTTGATTATATAAGTAACTAGCATAGGCCTAAATTTGCATATATGTGACCTTGATATCATTTACAAATGCCTAATTGTGATTATTAAATTTGCTGAAAATATACTAGCAAATATATTTGTGATTTGTGAAGTGAAACATTTTTCAAAGTTTTCAATATTGTTGAATTTTGAAAATCTAAAAGAGAGGAATTATATTCCAATTTTTCACCTTGTGTGAATGAGGTATATGCCGATAATTTAAAATTGAAAATTCATATCAATTTGGATTGATTATTTTGACATTAGCCTGTGAAGAGGCCGGTTGATACCGAATGTGATATATAAAATTCTAATATGTGATAAATCAAATGCTTTGTGCTTTGATTAATGAGATTGTGAAAAATCAATGATTTGTGCATTGATAGATCATACATGTGATTGAAAAACTGCAGTTGGCAAAAGCGAGAATCTTTTAATGGGAGCCGGAACCATTAAAAGAAAATACAGTACTGTGAATATATGTGAAAATTCACGTGAAAATCTATGAGATATTACATGTAAAATTATTTGAGAATGGTTAATAAACCATTGAGTCTACGAGACTAAATGTCAGATAAGTGCTACTAAATTTGTGAAATTATATTTCATATTATTTCAGAAATCATCTGAAATGCATTGAGGGGGGTTGGATTAAAGCCTAATATATTTTGTAAAGTTGTTGATGAGGATACTACCGCCTAGGGGCTAGAGATCCTACAAACTAGGCGAAGAAAAACGAATCTGAAAGCAACTTGATAGTGATAAAAGTGCACACTTTTATTATCCATCCCTATGGTGCATGTGCACTAATAAAGCTCGTAACGAATTGTGAGGTTGAGACTTTGATCTCTTAATGATTTCTATAGCCCGAATGGGTGGAGTGTTGGAGTTACGTAAACATCCTTGATAGAATTCACCTTGTGAGTGTGGAAGTGGGGCCGCTTCCTATGAGAATTATAGGTTGTTCTCTAGAGCTCTCACGAGAAATGGGGTAAATCACATGGCCGTTAACGTGCTGGCTTTAGAAGCTTCGATCGGGACACTTTGAGTATTATGTGTGCAATATGATTCCACGTGCCCCAAGGGTCACTGTTTGAAGGCTAAGTCCACTTTGATTCTAGTACGGGAAACATATTGTACTAAGTGAAGGTTTGAAGGCATTGTCCACTTTCATTATGCATAATATTCCGCAAGAGCTCAAATATTATTATTATTCTTATTTTTATTAAAATAGTGAGGGATTGTTGGGTTTTTTAATAAAAATAATATTTTATTAAATATTTTCTTTGACCAATTTATGAGGTAATTTTGACCAACATTTTGAAACATACAAGCACTTTATTTACCTCATAAAACCTCCATAAATTTTCCTAATTCTATATTAAATATAGGTTTTATGATGACCTTATTTTACACTATAAAAGGGTGGCTTTGTGGCTTGAAAAAATAGAGGAGAGAACATAAAGAGTGAAAGAAAAATGTCTTTCAAAAGGATCATATATTATATACATATATTGAGCTCTTGTTGTGTGTCGGGTGTAAGCTTCTGCTTCACTTGAACGTGCAATTTCGGTGAAGTTACAGCGGAGAGATAGGCTGGGCTGTTGTATCCCATAGGCGACACGATCGGAACCTTTTTGCACCTCATTAGAGAAGGGGTCGTGAAATTCGTCTTAAGAGAGCGACCTAGTCCGCGCCTCACCTTGCCTATCTCCATATTATCATGGTTTTTGTTGCAGCAACTTGTTACCTATAAAATTAGAGAACAAATGGAGTCCAAGCCTCATCCACAAGTTTCGTGATCAATCGTCGAAGTGCAGCCGTGGTTCCTACATTATATACACATGCACTCGATGTAAAGTGAAGAGATTCAAGACTGAGGAGGATTGGATCAGCACGACCGGTTATTCTTACAGAAATATCAAATTACCATAAATTCACGTTTTAATAACAAGTAATCAAGAATTTGATGAACATCATAAGTAAATGTAAATGTAAATGAAAACCCTACATTTAAAGTTGGTTTATGATAGATGAAATGATACGTACATGTGCGGTGGTGCGGTTGGAATTATCATCAGCAAACAACTTGTGAATCTGCGAACGCGAGTACTCGTTAATAGTTGCCATAGCAGACCTCGGAGTACCTAGAATAGATATGTAGATGATATCACTCCAAATTAATGCTACAAGGCAACTACAACCAGTAGTTGCAACACTGGGGTCGGAACTGAAAGAACTTCGAACATGGTTGAGAAAGGCCTCTTCTACTGCATGGAACGCATCCTTGATAATTTCCTTGGAAAGTTTGGACCCTTCTCCTCTTGAAATTCCTATTTAATGTATGCATATATGTGTGTGTTAACATGTTATAATCCGAAGTGTATAAAGAAATTACATAATAATTAAATTAATACAAATGAAGACTTACCGAATTGTCGTTTCATAAAGAACTTGTTCGCGTGCTCAGCTGCCTTATAGCCAAAGTGACCATCGTAAAGTCCCACGAAAGTCGCGTTTGGACTGATGAAGATGCTGCCTTGATCCTCGCAGGGGTCTTGTGCCCCCAAAACAGCAAACGAGACGTGGCCCGTTGAGGTTTTCTCTAGGTCACTTGTCCACACAAACCATCCTTGGTTAAACCGGACTGATTATCGGAACTACCGGATCCACTACCGGATCCAAACTCTGGCTGTGGTGTACGTCGGAAAGACTGTCCCAACGCTGCTCGTTCAAGCCGAGTAGGATCCCATGCAAACATTAATGATACAGATATAAAAGAAGCCAAAATAACAATAGTTCAAAAGAAACCGACAGAACGGGCCGGACCACAATTAAACATTCCTTCCTAATTGCACCAGCATTCGTATCATAAACCATAAATATTTTCCAATTGAGTGATTTGATATTAATTACAGAAGAAAAAAAACATTCAATCTAAACTTACGAACACCGATTATCTCTCAATTTGTTGAAAAATATGATAGATAGCCTCGGAACAGCCGGAACAGTCATAATTCAAATTAATCATTCCTTCCGTCAAATCGTTCAAAAAAAAAATTCAGAAACCACATGATTTCAATTTTCAATTACACGAAACTGACAACAAAAGTCGAAATATATGAACACCGGCCGATTAATCTCTCAATAATCGCCTCAGAACAGCCAGAACATTCATAATTCAAATTAATCATTCCTTCCGTCAAATCGTTCAAAAAAAAAATTCAGAAACAACATGATTTCAATTTTCAATTACATGAAACAGACAACAAAATTCGAAATATATGAACACCGGCCGATTAATCTCTCAATAATCGCCTCAGAACAGTCAGAACAGTCATAATTCATATTAATTGTTCCTTCCGTTAAATCGTTCAAAAAATAAAATTCAGAAACCACATGATTTCAATTATCAATTACACGAAACAGACAACAAAGTTCGAAACATACGAACACCGTCCGATTAATCTCTCAATAATCGCCTCGGAACAGTCACTACAGTCTTAATTCATATTAATCGTTCCTTCCGTTAAATTGTTAAAAAATAAAATTCAGAATCCACATGATTTCAGTGATCAAGTACACGAAACAGACAATAAAATTCAGAAACCACATATGAACACCGGACGATTAATCCATCAAATTGTTAAAAAAATGCGTAAGAGACTCAGTAATTCATACTTGCAGCTTTAATAGGAAGGAGCAAAAATTTTTTTAGAGAGAGAGAGAATTGGGTTGGCGTGTAAATGTTGAAGTGCGAGAGAATGCTACTGCAGGAGTATTTATACATTCTTTATTATTATTATTTTTTATTATTTTTTATTATTATTATTACTAGTCACTCACCCGTGCGATGCACGGGGATTATTTCAAAAACATAAAATGAGTTAATGTAGAAAACCAACGAATAAAAAATATGTCGAGAATGTAAAGAATACAATTGAACAATAAATAACAAATTCGTATCTTGATTTATCAATCAAAAGTCTCTATAAAAAATAAACGGACAATGTTCTAAGCACCATACACGTTGAAATGTAGCAAATAACTCCAAGACCGAAATTAAAGTAATGCACCAGTCTTGCACATTAATGAGAATGTTGTTAAAGAAGACCACGGAACTACAATTAGATCTACGACCAGATGACGAATAACCTGTTATTTTTCATCATTTTCAATATATAAGTCAAAGACATTACGTAGATAAAGAATATATATATATATATATATATATATATATATATATATATATATATATATATATATATATATATATCAAATGAAGAATGTGTGCATAGAAAAATAATCGAATATCCCATTAAAAAATACTATTCACTGAACATAAATATGAACGCACATTGAATATACACGTATGAGTCAACGAAAAATATGTGTATGCATATAATATATAAATGATGTTTCTTAAAGTGTATCTTCATATTCCCTGAAATACAACACTTGAAATACTTCTTAGTACACAATATTGCAAGTAGCGTAAAACAATGCACCGGATTTTTAATTGATGAAAATCATTATTTAAAATATACTCTTAACTCTAGACAATGTTACGTACAATAATAATATTAATTTAATATTGATACTAATATTAAATCTAATACTAATAGTAATGGTTAATACAAATACTAATAATAATATTAACAGTACTAATAATGATTAATACAAATACTAATACTAAGATATATTGATATTTATGTTAATACTGATACTGATACTGATACTGATACTGATAGATAGTGATACTTATATTGATACTGATATTGATACTCATACTGATATTGATACTGATACTTATACTAATACTAATTATGATACATATATTAATAATGATATTGATATTGATACTAAACTGATACATATAACGATAGCAATAGTGATACTCATACTCATATCGATACCGATGTCGATACTGATATCGCTACCGGTATCGATACCGAGATTGACACTGATACTGATACCGATACAGATACCGATACCGATACGCATATCGATATCGATACCGATATTGATACCGATTCCGATACCCATACCCATAGTGATAATACCGTTACGAATACTGATACAATACTAATACTAATACCAATATTAATACCAATAACAGTGCCAGTATCAATTCAAATACCAATACCAATACCAATATTAATACTCATACTGATACTGATACTATTAATATTGATATTGATACTGATATGAATACTAATACGAATATGAACACTGATAATGATATTAATACTAATATTAATATTAATATAATTGAATATCGCCGAAAAATATTATTTACTAAAAATAAATCTGAACGCATATTAAATGTACACGTATGAGTCAACGAAAAACATGCGCATATATAATATATAAATGATGTTTGTTAAAGTGTATCTTCATATTCCCTGAAATACAACTCTAGAAATACTTCTTTGTATACGATATTGCAAGTAGCATGGGACAATCACCGGATTCTTAATTGATGAAAATCGTTATTTAAAATATACTCTTAACTCTAGACAATGTTACGTACAATACTAATATTAATTTAATACTGATATTAATACTAAATCTAATACAAATACTAATACTAATATAAATACTAATACTAATACTAATAATAATACTAATACTAACATTAATAGTAATGGTTAATACAAATACTAATACTAATACATATATTGATATTGATATTGATATTGATACTGATACATATATTGATATTGATACTGATACATATATTGATATTGATAATGATATTGATACTGATACTGATATTGATATTGATATTGATACTGATACTTATACTGATATTGATGTTAATATTGATAATGATACTGATATTGATATTAATACTGCTAATGATACATATACTAATAATGATATTGATATTGATACAAAACTGATACCGATACTGATAGCAATAGTGATACTCATACTCATATAGATACCGATGTCGATACCGATACCGCTACCGGTACCGATATCGATATTGATACTGATACTCTGACTGATATTGATACGAATACGGATACCCATACTCATACTGATATCGATATCGATACCGACACCGATACCGATACCGATACCAATACTAATACAATACTAATACCAATACCAATATTAGTACCAATACCATTACCAGTACGGCAGTACCAATACCAATACCAATACCAATACTAACACTAATAATTATATTTATACTGATACTATTAATATTGATATTGATACTGATACGAATACTAATACGAATACGAATACAAATACGAATATTGATAGTGATACTAATACTATTACTAATACTAATATTAATACTAATACTAACACTAATAGTAACACTAATACTAACACTAATACTAATATTAATAATACCGATATGCTAAATCCCACACTAATTTTACCAAATCATACACACAACACAATTGAAATTTTTTCTCTCTCTAAAATCTCATCTTCTCCTTCTCCACCCTTCTTCTTTTTCCCTATTATTTTTAATAAAATCACACACTATAAACGTCCATATCATTCACTACTAGAAAATCACTCTTTAATGACGCCTTAATGACACCTTAATATGACACGGTTTAAAAATTGTCTCAATAAGTATTCTATTATGACACCTTAAACTAAAAGTATCGGTGATTTCCGCGTTTCTACTTTTATCGTTTTTTTGTAAATTAGAAAAAATATAATTTACGACGCTTTGAAATAAATTGTCATAATATAGTGTAACTGTTGACACGCATTAATAAAGCGTGTTAATATCCTTTTTATTTACCGACACAAAAAGGGTAGAAACCAAAATATAAGACCTCATAAAATATTTCAATAAATTACACGTTTCCCTTCTCAATTTTAGCGGCAACAAATCACGTCTCCTTTTATTCATATAAAAATCTTTATATTCCTTTCTTCTCTCTATTTTTTCCCCCACTAAGAGTAGCAATATTTGGGAATTCTCGTAACCTACTCTACTCACCCAAAAGAAGAAGAATTGAAGAAGACCTTTTGCTTATAAATTCTGCAATTTCTGGTGAATTGTCGACATACCCAATCAAGCAAAAAACACTCGAATACAATTTCTCAGTTGCAAATCCTTCGAGGTAAAATTAATTAATGTTTGTTGCTTTTTTTTTTTGGCGATTAATCTCTCTTGGTGTTTTTATTTTGGGCTCAATTTGCTAAACGTGTATTGGGTAATTTGAGTTTCTATTAGAAAAATAAAACTCAATTGATTTTGTGGTTTTGCCTTATTGAACTCATTAACATGTACAGATTAATTTATATAATTTAGTTATATAAAATTTCAAAACGAGGGCTTCTCTTTTCTTGATTTGAAATTGGGTGTTGTGCAGATTTTTAAATTATTTGGTGTATGAATAAATTTTTGATTCCGTAGGTCGCCTCATATATACAATGGTAGGAGGGTTCCTCGATAGTTAGAACATAATCTTTTAAAAGTAAAAATTCAAATTATAGGAGAAAAACTAGAAAGTAATCCTATTGTTGATACAGGACACTAGAAACGTATAGCGATGATGAAATGTTTGTAAAGTATTTCTGAAAATATGTGTGTTGTGTGCGTGTGAGGTTATTGTGCGTGTATGTATATACCGAATTGAAATTGTGCTAACAAGCATTGAACATGAATCACACAGTATGTACCACTGTGCGAATCTAATGTTTGCAATTTGTTTCCGTAAATGTTATTTTTTATTTCAATTAGCTAAGAAAGTATTTTAGTTTAAGTTCTCAGTACCTCTATATTCATCATAATTGTTCCTATTTTGACTGAAAATATTAGTATGGACAAAAAATGGATGGATTTTCCAAGGTCAAGCACAAAATACCATATAGGGCTGAAATATTTTCTCGACTTTGCCTTCTCGAATTCTACCGATGGGATGATCTTGTGCCCTTGCAAAAAATGTAAAAACGCCATTTGCAAAACAAGGGATGTAGTGGTAGAACATCTTCTTGGGAATGGTTTTTTAAGTGGATATACTAAATGGCTACTTCATGGAGAGACTATCACTGATCAAGCACAAGTACCACACGATTACATTGACATAAATGCATCTGATAATATGCAAGAAATGCTACATGATAGATTTGGGGTGCATGATGAAGATGATGATTTCGAAAGAGAGCCACAAGTAGAACAAGCAGAAAGACCTTGTAAAGAAGCTGAGAAAATGAGGTGGAAAATAAGGTGGAAAATGGGATGGAAAATGAGTTGCATGAAATGCCAGGTATGATAATATAAGTTTGAGTGGCATTTTGCTCCATGGTTATGTTTTTTTTTTTTCCTTTTTTTGCAAGTTATGAATTGAGACTTAGGAATACTGTTATTATGCCTTGGTAATTTTTTTCTTGCTCATCTCCCAAAATATAGAAACATTATATATGTGCATCATGTTTTCTTAATGTTACTGATTTTTTTCCCTTTATTATTCTGCACACCCTGGACTTTTTTTGATCTTGCTATTGTAGAATGTTTTTAACCTGGTAGGTTATCTAAGTGTTGAGATGCTGAAAATGATCATTATACTAGATTTGCAATAATCATAAGTTAATACATGACATAAATTGAATTATGATTTTTGTATCATGGAATATTTTAATTTTTTTGGTTATTGTGACTATGATTTCTATTTTTTTTCTTCATTTTCTTTCTAACTACATTTGTTTTTACAGAAGATGCTTGTGAGAAAAGAACTAGAGGTCCTACTTATATGGCACGTGTTTGGGTAAGGAAAGATCGTAAAGAAGTTGAGTTCAATGAATTAGGACAAGCTATTGGTCCAAATAAAAGTGAATATGTTGAGTTCATTGGTACTTTAGTTAGAAATGGTAAATTAATTCCACTCAACATCAAAGATTGGCATAATGTCCCAAACTCGTACAAGAGCAAATTATTGGATTTAGTTAAGGTAATGCTAAGCAATATTCGTACAAAAAAATATGAAATTGATTTATTTTGTCAAGATATTATTTTATTAAACTGCTAATTGCAATGGATATCTAGGAAAAAATTTGTGGTTCGTCCAACCTTGAAAATCACACTTTGACGAATTTGGCGAGAAGTTGGAGGAATTGGAAGAATAGAGTGAAGACAAAATTCTTCGATAAAAACTTATCTTTGGAACAAAACTTGCGTAAACGACCTGATTTGGACGATGAGAGGGTCTTCATTGATCAATGGAAGGAATTAGTGATTTATTGGAGCAGTGATGCAGCACAGGTAAGTTACTTTTGTAAAATTCGAATGCATTGATTTTTTTTTATGCATGTAAGTATAAATTACATTTTAATGTTGTTTTAAGTGTTTATGTTTATATTCAGAAATTAAGTGAACAAAACAAAGATATCAGGCAAAACAAGACCATGAATCACATTACTGGCAAACGAAGTTTTGCTCAAGTGAGAGACAAGATGAAGGTTAGTTAATTTGTTGCAAATATATTCATTAAATTTATACTTCTGGACTTCAATAATGTACTTACCCACATAATATCTATATTTTGTAGAAGGAGTTAGTAGCATCAGAAAATAGAAATGATAGCAGTGAAAGAATGGATGATGAAATAGATGTTGATGAAACAAGTGACAATGATGAAGCAGATGACAATGTCGAACCATCAAGAATGGATCTTTTTGCAAAGTGTTATACTAAAAATGGGGAGACGTCTAATCCGAAGATAGCCGATTCTTTGGTAAGATTATTATTTTACTATAACAAATTATTTCATTTTTTTTTACTAAGAAATATTATTTAATTTTGTAAGATCCATTAATTTTAAGTTGAAAATTCACTAAAATTAGTTTATTATACTTTATATACAGCGAAAGATGAACGAAATAGTTAGTGGACTTCCTCCTGGGGAAACAGATATTGGTCCGAATGATATATTCTCTCAAGTTGTTGGGGAAGATAAAGGGGGAAGGGTAAAGATGTATGGCAAAGGTGCCACTAGATCGGCAGTATATGGTGATGCTCTGAGGCGAGGTAAATTTTCTCCTACCTATATGAGTCATAAGAATGAAGTTAACACACTAAACAAAGAGTTGACCAACAAGAGAAGCTTATAATGGAGCAAAGTAAACAAATACAAGAGCTCATAAAAATGAACAAAGAGAGATCGAGACATGATTCCCCACCAGAAGTCACCAAAACCCTTTTGTCTTCATCTCGTGACCATTCAATCTCTTGTCGTCCTTCAACATTGTCTTCTAGCATGATGCGGCTACAGGTAAATTAACTAGGAACACAATTTTTTGAGTTTTTTGTTTGTTTTAATTGAAGTAATATGCATGTGATTGATAAGCTAAAAACGATTATTTTTATAATTTCGATTATAAGTCGTAAACTAAGTAACTAAGTAAAGCTTCATAAATTTTGATTGTAGGTCGGAGCAAAAGTATGTCTGAAAAGTATATCGGAACCATCCAAAACTGTGGCTATTGGAAACATTCAAAGTTTAGATTCATCAAAAAAAGTAGGAGAAGTGCGTTTGGGACCAAGATGGTGTGAGGTTCATATTAATGTAGGAGTTGACCCTGATGAGCTATTAATTCGACGCATTTCAAATTTTAAAACTATCGGAGAGGCTATTGGATTGACGGTTGCTTGGCCACAATCTTTGGTAACGATCTCTTATATATCTCATCAAAACTTAACTACGAGTCGTTTCTTTTGAACTGAATTAATATTTGGTAATGTTAATAGGTTACTTTGGACTCATAAAAGAATTTGAAGACAATTGCGTACGATCGATGATCAAGCTAGCTATACTTTTGAATCTATTTTGAAGGCAGTTTATATTTAAGAAATTTGTCATCAACTTAGTTTATTCTTTGAAGTTCATTTTTTTTTTGGAAATTGGAGTTGAACTACTATGGACCTGTGAAGTGTACAGGAGATTGTTTGAGATGGTTTGAGATTGAATACTTGGATGTTGGGATCTTGCTACTTAAATATTATTGTCAGCTTTGAGACATTAAATTAAATGGCTTCAGTTTGATTGTGTTTATATATGTATTGGATTTTTGTGTTCTTGGATTAAGCTCTTGTATGTATATAATAATTAATTTTATTTTTTATTTTAATTATAGATTATATGCAGTCATGGGAAATAAAAAGTGACACATAATCTAGGTACATTGAGCGTCATTATAGCCACGTTAATGGGATATACAAATGTCACAAAAAATATTTATCGAGACACATTGAGACAATAAATCGTCACTATAGCCATATTTAATGACGTCGTTTGGTGTCATTTAAAGAGGTAGTTATGGTAGTTAGTGATAAATAACGTGACGCTTATGGTTGTCGCAACATATAGATAATGCGACGACCAACTGTGTCATTATAAATTGTTGTCGAGACAATAAAAAGCATCAACATAGCTCACATCTAGAGACACTCATCAGCGTCACATAAAAAGTCAGTTATGGTAGTTGAAAAATTAATAAGATGACGCTTGTGGGCGTCACAATATGTGTCAAAAAATGACACAAAGAATGTCATAAAAACATACTTTTAGTGATGCCTATGTCGTCACTAAAATCTATTATGACGGCCACCTATATGACGCTTTTCTTAGGCGTCACAATAGATGAAGTGTCACGACATCTTGCTGTAGTGACGTATTACGATGTCGCAATATGTATGTTTTCTAGTAGTGATTCCAAGTTCGAATTTGAGAAAAATCTTCATGTGTTCAAACTAAACTAAAGTTCGAATTTGAGAAAGAAATTCGAATTGATATGAATTTAAATAATTAAAAACCATAATGAAATTGAAAAATATTAAATAAGCCTAAACTCACTTTTTATGATTATTCACGTGAAAGATTAACGAATTTTGAGTGACTTGGAAAAAATCATCATAGAGAAAAATTAGAGAGAATATAAGTAGATAGAGATTTTGTTTTTTAATTTATGTGTGGGATTTAGTAAATTTTAGTGTTGGAATTAGTATGACCCTTAATAATAATACTAACATTAATATAAATGGTTAATACAAATACGAATACTAATGTTGATACTGATATAGATAATGATATTAATACTGATACTGATAATGATACTTTTATTGTTACTGATACTAAACTAATACGCCGATACCAATATCAATACCGGTACCGATGCCGATACCAATATCGATACCAGTACAGATACCGATACCGATAATTAAAAAAATATGAATAATCCATCATATTCCAGTGATTAAAATTTTAGATAAAAAAATGTAAATAATTCACAAAATGATATTATTTAGTATTCAAAGTGAATATTTAGCATTATTGTTAATCGGATTACACTATGCAAATAGAATGAATCTACAAAATTTTGATATAACATTAACATACATTTCTTAGATAATTCATTTTCCTAAATAAATAATAACAATAAAATTAATGTTTTTGTTGTGATTAAAAACATGGATTAAATAAAGCTATAAATATTAGAACAATAATGTTCTTTTTTTTTATCAATAAAGTTATAAATATTACCGTAATATTGTTAAAAATATAAAGAATAAAAGTAGCAACAAATATTTTTATTTGTTCTAAACTCTATTAGAACTCATTTGAATTATATAACATAGAAATAGAAAGAGAATGATATTTTTTTTCCTAAAATTTATTTATTTGTTCCAAACATCACGGAACGATAATGGTGATCTCTTATTAAAATATCACATATATTATTTAGTATTTTATATTTTTA